TACAAAAAGTTGTGATAGAGATGACGGAAGGGGTGGATCGACCAGACATAAATCTGATGTCGAAATATGAAAAATCATTCTGTGGCTGTTCTCAGTGCGACATTTCTTTCTATATATATGTATATGTATTTCTTTTTTGCCAAAATGCAAAGTGCATTTTTAGGTCACCTTTATTAATAAGACAAAAAAGAAGGCGGCTAATAACGCAGTTTTATTTGCTCGTTTTATGTTTGGAGGTGGGCCCGGATTTGGATTGGGATAGAGATCGGGATCGGGATGGGGAACGGGTTTTGGGTGGTGATTTTCTTGGCACAAGTCAAAGGGGGAGGCGGGAAGGGTTGGGCGGAGTGGTGTTCTCGTTTTTGGCTTTCGGCACATTGCCAAATAATAATTTCTATAATATTTGCTTATATGTACGTGTGTGTTGGCCCGACTTTTGTTGAAAAATAAAATTCACCATTTCGCCGGGGCATCGAAAGTTTACAGAGATTTCAAATTTTCCATGCGATCGTAAATTTCCCGTTGACTGATTTTGTCTCTGCCGCTTTGATTATCACATATAACTATATATCGGCCAGATATAGAGACGGATATACATACATATTATTGTTAGCACTTAGCACACAAAACAAAAAGCCAGGCAGTCTCGGTCCATTGGAACTATGAGTTATACTTTGCAGACGCGACGACGACACACAACTTGTTGTTCTACAAGGAACAAGCAGCAGCGGGACATGTGTTCGGCATCCGACAGATACATTTTTTGCTGGCCGCTTGAAACTCGATTGGCGTTTATTATTTAAAAGTCAATTTATGCTAAATGGAACCCCCGCCACACACTCGTGGATTTCACTTCAATTGGAAAAAGCAGCGGCCAAAAAAAGTAGATAAACCCTTGTGTTTTTGGCCAATTTTATGTCCCGAATGAATTGTATTTCCGATAATCGTGCGTAAATATTTATCTGAATTCATCAATCAAGACCAAAAGGATTGCCATTCACGCGGGGTTCTTTCAACGATCCACGAACTGCGATCCACCTCCCACAGGGAAACAAATTTGTCAAGTTGATATATTGGGGAACCTACAAGGTCACCACTACGTCTCTCAATTGTCAAAGATTTCCGTAAATATATATAATATATATACCTATGTTATATATATGTAGTATTCCGTCAGAAAAGTGGGCCACCAAACGAAATTTATAACTTTTTCGTCACGAATTGATGGGGTTATTGATCCTTTCAGACGCTTTCCTATACTTTTCCAACACTTTATACATTTTTCAGAGCATTAAGAGCACATTTAGCTAATTTTTATGAGCCAATTGATCGCCCGAAAGCACACATTTCACATTTCCAAAGTAATGGCTATCAGGTCGTTTTGGTTTCGCAGTTTTAAAATTCCATTGTTTTTATATTAGCTGATTTTCTGGGTTTTAGTTGGGCTTATATAGTAGATTAGAAATAATTATATAAAAATAATATATATGAGGAAGATTAACCCAGCTTTAAATAGCACTTTAAGGTTCTCAATTTTATTAACTTTTAATTTTTAGTACCCCTGAAGCTCTTCTTGTATATATTATATATAACATAAACTTTCTTACCGGATACCTGCATGAACTTTCACTCGGTTAAAACTCTTGTCAGACAGACTCCTCAATCCAGTTTCCCGAGGCAAAAACATTTCCTTTACGAGATCCCAGAGACAGAGTCCATTCCACTCCGGTGTTAATTGCAACTCCGCAATTGATTTGACAGGTTTAAGGCCATGACTAAATGGCTAATGGCTCATGACTACTGGCTAAAAGCTAATGGCTAATGGCGTTCCCTGATCTCGAATTCGACGCAGCACATGCAGCCAGAACATGCACAAACAAAAACATGTTTTATTTGTTTTCCCAAAATCAAAACAAAAGGTCTCTGCTGTTCTGTTGTTTTGCCGAAATTGAAAAACATTTCTTTGGAAATGTTTCTCGGGAAATTCCCCCGTTTTTTTGTTTCTTGTAGAAGACCTGAGGTCGCTGGCTAATCAATGGGATTGCAGACAACAAGACAACAACGAACTTAACTATCAATATTTATAGTAAATCTTGAGGGGGGCATATGTGTTTCACAGTTTGCAATAATTTTCAGCACGGTTCAATGCGGTTTTTCCTCATATTTTCAGACCATTTAGTTTTCAGCATCCACTGGCTTTTCCGCAATTACGCCGATGATGTTCACTTGCCCATAGCCGCATCTCCTTTGCTCATTTGGCTTCTATTGTTATTGTTATTATTATTATTGTTATTATCAAAAGCAGCATTGAATTACACTGTGCTATAAGTATTTAGGGCTTAATAAATATAGAAATTGTTTCTTAGTCACATATAAAGAGCTTAACTGATTAAAATTTACATGGGGTTTAAACCATGAAAATTCATATTTAAGCGTGGTTTAAAATTGATAATTAACAAGTAAAGTGCTGAGTAGGTACTATTAAGATCCTTTCTTACAGTTCTGGTGTCCGATTTTACTAATTTTACAATTTTGCAGAGCATTGTTTATCCATTACTATTCCCTAATAGAAGCGTGACTCACTGGCATTCATATTCTTCCCATACAATAATCATAAACCAATATGTTATTTCCCTATTTAAGATGTGCGTGTGCATGGCATGATATCCGCTCTGGTTTATTTACTTTTTACGGATTTCTACTGAAATTTCGTACTCAATACCTTTTGGGCAAGTGTGTCTGGCAATTGTTTGAAATCCATTCAAGATTACTCATACGTCGTGTGGTGCTCCCAGGGCGGGATGAGCCCGAATGGTGCTATTGTGTGTTGAAAGCGTTTACGGAAAAGGAGCTCAGCGGTATTACTCATACTTCGGAAGAGGTGTTGACGGCGGAATCTTACACAAATGGAAGGGAACAGGAAACAGCTGATCTTCTATTTGATTTATAATTTTAGGGTTAGCCATTTTAAGGGATAAAAATGATCAATTTATCAATCTAAAAATACTTTTTAACGTACTTGAAGCTTTTTTAAGTTTAATGATTTCAAGTTCTTTGCCTAAAAGAACAATCATCTAGAATTGATATTAATATAAAACATTTTAAAGTTTATCCCTCTTAAATTCACACAAAAATACAGCATCCAAATGCTAGAAATTAATCTCCTTTATTCTCTATCCTAAATATAGAAAAACGTTCCCAGAAGCCACATTTAGGAGATTTGCTAAACACAATTAACTCCCACAACGATTTGTGAAAAAACTTATTGCTGTAATTAATCTGGTCAAGTGAAAGAAATGGAATATAAAACAATTTTAAAGGTGATTCCGCCCACAATAATTCCGCAATTACTTTGAGTTGGTCCTGGTCAGAGATCGGTGCACAAATGTTTTCAAATGACTTGGATAGCAAAAAATAAAACGGCGCATTGATCACACGTGTAGTAAGGCAAATGTTGTGGTAATAAATCAGGGAGAACGCTCTGTACTAGCCCCAGCCCAGCCTCAAGTAAATATTTATGCCACAAGGCTTAATGAGTATTCAGATAGCCCGGACCGATGATGGTATACTAAATTTAGTTAGAACACTAAAAGCGCCTGCTTCGCTCACACCGAAGACGTCAAAATGGGGAACAAATCAAAATATTATGGGCACTAATTGGTCGAGCGTCGGTCCGAATACGTAATACCCATTGAAGATCCTAAACAGAGTCCAGAAATACATACTATATATGTAGTACTTGATTCTTGAACAAGAGTACTGTCTAAATGAGAATTTTACGCAAGCCAGAAAGCGCTCATAATAATCATAATACGAGTAGGACTGCCTTTTCTCCATTTGCGTAATCAATAAGAATTTATTTGCACATAAAACCAATAAAAAGCCATAGAAAACTGATGCTGAGCCCCGAAAAGGGGGAACATTAATACACATCCATGCGCAGGCATGAGTGCTTAAAAAATGAGGTAATAAATATTTGAAATTAAATCGTTGAGCGATATCAAAGAACAGCAAACAAGAAACAGAAAAAGAAGTGAGACGAAGGTATTTTGGATAATTCTCTTTTTCCTCCTTTTGATTTTGCAAAAAAATTGATTGAACAGGTGAGAAAACTCTTTTAAATAAATTGAATAATCAAAGTAAAGAAAGATGGGGATATGTGGGGGAGATGTGGGGGTTTTCCAGTTTTCAATTATATTTATTTTTATATTTTTTGGCTGATGATGTGTATAAGTATTCAATTATTATTTTTAGGAAAGAATATGGTAAACGAAATGCTTAAAAAAGTAAAGAAAGTATAAAGATATTTAATATTAAATGATAATTATTTAAGCAAGTCAAACTCTACTTTTAATCTAATATATCATGAAGTTCTTTTATTTTTAATTTGATTAATTTTGTCTTTTCATAGAAGCTTACCTAATTTATAAAATAAAGCAAAATGTACTTCTCATTGTTCATTTAGATTGAAATTCAATTTTGTTCTTAAACTTATGGTATTTTTATCATAGATATGACCATGAAAAAGCAATTTTATTTATATGGATTAAATACTTTTAGTGAAGGGAGCATCACTATGACCTCATCACGCCTTGACTACTGACTTGACCTAGAAAGCAGTTTGTTGTGATAGCTTCACTCCAAACAGTTTCCGAAACGAAAAACCAACAAACAGAGGAAAATGGAAACGTATCTATGAAAAATCGATCGGAAAGTGTACACTAACTAACCCGAGCGACAAGTTGAAGGTCTTGAAGAGACCTCAACATCAATCATACGCCCCGTACGACCCATGGGTAAACAGCTTCTCAAGCACAAAATTAATTGTTTTAGCTAAAACCTAACAAAGAAGATAAGCCACACGATTTCAACTAAAAATTAATCATGTTTAATATGCTGATATTTTTCTATTTATATTTTTAACCATGCATTTTTTTAAATTAAACAAATTGAAAAATTCCCCCAAATTGATGTAAATATTTCTCTCAGTGCTGACTTACCGACTGTTTTGATTATCTGGTAGTCGTCCAAGTGGTATTTGCGCACTCCCTTTGCGGTCTGGACACTGCTGCTCTCCTCGGAGTCATCCTCGTCCTCCTCATCGTCCGTCTCATTGCCGTCATCCTCCTCGATGCTCTCGCTGGAATCATGGGTCGCATCATCGCCCTCCCGGCCATTTGCCTCTTCCTCGTCATCATCATCGTCGTCGTCCTCCTCCTCGTCGACATCATGGTCATGGCCAGCAGCGGAGCTGCTTGTGGTGGTGGCGGTGCTGCTGCTCCGGCTGTTGGTCACCGGCTCCTGATCCTTCTCCTCCTCCTCCTCCTCGCTGTAGTCGGATTCCAGCGGATCGGAAGACTCGCTGGAGGCCACGTTGCTGCTGCTCCGTGCATTGGAGCGCCCCAATTTGAATGTGAATGTTGCCTCTGTGTTGCTGCTGTCATTTGTGGCTGCCGCTGCCGCTGTGCTGTTTGATGGAATCTTCTTCTTGTACGACGACGTCATGTTGCCGCTTCCGTTTCCTGTCGTCACGCTTCCGGCTGTCAATTTTGATGTGGATCCTGCTGGGCCGGATGTCAATGGCGCACAGAAGCGGGCACAAGTGGCCGTGGACATCTCACTCGCAATCCTAGCTTGCGCTTCACCGATTGTCCTCGCCCTCGAAGGAGTACCTGTCGCCCGGCTTCCTGTTGTTGTCGATTTTCCTGCAATCGAAAGGCAGGATAAGTGTTTGGTTATATTTTTGGATAACAATGCAAATATGAAATCTAAAGGATTGTCCGTTTGCAGATATATAAAATGGGAAATATAAATCTTTTAAGTTTCTAAGAGGAATGAATATTTCCACCAAGTCTAACCCAAAAGTGATTAGAAGAATTATCCACTCAGAGAGTATAACACATTCATTGGGATTTCCCCACTCAGTTTCCATATCCATTAAATCTGAAGTGCTCTTGGTTAAATGCCGCATTGTTCTTCCAAATTGCCTTGGAGCACACCGATCCCATCCAATCGTTTCCCATTGCCAGACGACCATGGTCGTTTAATTAACCAACCGAGGATATATGGTGTTTAGGCCCGGCACAGCCATTCAGGGTAGTGTTCATAAATTGAAAGTGAAATGAAATGAAATAAAACGAAAAATGGTCCAGCAACAAGTGTCTGTCCCGGGCTTTATCATCGCAGCGTCAGGCGACCAGACAATGGCATTATATAGTAAGTATCACATACATATATAGTGCAGGAAAATTGAGTTCGCTAAAAGGGGGTTTCTTTCGCCCGGACACAAAGGGGTGCCTGCAGCAGTTCAGTTAATATCACATACTAATATTATTAATAACAATGCCTGCAGTCTTAATTCAATTTAATGGCTGCCTGCCTTCGCAACAAAAGAAGGGCCCCCGAGGAGCCAAGCGGGCACAAAGGCGATTTCTTCTTGGGGTCCATCGCCTTAATGCACCGATGCATTTAATTTGAGGAGAAAGAAAGCACCACCGGTCCAGCCAAAATGCAAAATCATGATGGATCTGGGATCCCTTCTGGGATGGGCAGTCGAGTCTATGAAAATCAATACCCATCCGTATATTCTTGGCTGGCAGCCCGAGTGGCTTTTTTATTGTTTAAGCGGCTGCTGGAAAAAATCTAGGCCAGTCAGGCCATAGAAGAGCATTCAATTGATTCGCCGCAGATTGCACGGAAAGCCAACCAAAAAGAGGTCTGGGGCTTCACATTTGCTGCTCTGCGTCATTAACTGCAGCTTTTGGCTGGGCGAAGGCCAAGAAGATGACAATGGATTAGGCACAGGCAGGCGAAAATTGAAAGGGCTTTTTATGTTGCAAAATTTTGTATATAAAAGGGGGATTTCGAGTAAGTAAAAATCACTCCCTACCATCCAGAGGCTGCTGACAGGGAATAAATGATGGGTAGAATCTAGAGTCTCTTTACAGAGATCGAGATTTGATTTTGAAAGAAGGTAGGAATTGAATAAAAGGATACATTTCAATCTCTAAAGATTGTTAGGTTTTAAATGATTAATATTTGCGGTTAATTTTGAGACCTAAGTAAAGCAGAAATTCATTAATCTAAAGTCCTGCTTTAAATGTCATAAAATGATATAGAAAATTACTGCATAACCATTTTTGCTGAATGTAAAATATTCTTTATTTCTAAACAATATTACTAACCAATAAATATTTTCTTATATACAAATTAAATGGGATAAAGGGAAAAGGATGACAAATATTCACTTAACTATAACTTAGAATTAAATGCCACACGACTTGTATACAAAATGTATATCAACAACACCCAAGAAAACATTGCTAGACTAAAACCACTCTGTTTGTTATTAAATAAAAACAAATTGCAATTGTTATAATTCAATTTGAAGAGCTAGAATCTCTCTGTTAATTTCCCAGTCTGCTGCCAGTTTTCCCCACAGACAGGTAGAAATGTCTTGGCCATGTAACAAACACCTCGATTCAATTGGCACGCCTCACGCTCTAATGGAAAAGTCAACCGCCGATAAACTGGGATTTACGTAAATAGCTTTAACTGCGACTTGAGAAAAATAAAATGTACATATGCATATCTATATTGTTTTATTGGCATAAACCTTGTCATAATAGAACGTTTTGAAATTAACGAAAAAGAAATAATAACATTCAACGATTTCTTGGAATATTTTCATGGGCTTTTGTTTTCCTTTTTTGTTTTTCTTATTTTTCGTTTTATTATTATTACACAAACATTAATTTTATGAACGTCTGTCACTCAAGATTATTTACGTACGCTCTGAAAATTTCTACACTTTTTCGATGGGAATATACATATATACTTATATGATCATCCCACGCATCAAAAGCGCGGAATTATAACTTAGAGTTGTCTGAGGCAAAGTGCAGCGAGGAGGCTTGTTTTGGGAATAATTTCTCAAAAATTATTGTAGACAATCACTCGGTTTGTAAATTAGCAGCAAGCAGCAAGAGACCAAGAAATACAAACATCAGATCTGAGGGTCCTACGACTAAGATATATGTACATATATAACGTAGGTATATCCACTCGCACTCGGAAAAGCACTCACCTTGGCGGCTGCCAAATTTGAAAATGGAAATGGAAATTGGGGTCGTCGTTGCCAGCCAGCTAAATGTTAAATTGTTGCTTAATCTTCCGGTGGCTAGCACTCTTTTTCTTCTGTTATTTTGTTGTATTATTTTTTGTCTTCCACTTTTCGTGAATGAAAAACGCAATAAAAAGTACATACTACATATATACACCTTCCACAGAAGCCAAGCTAAAGAAATAGTGTCTACGCGATAAGGTGAGAAGAACAGGTGAATGAGAGTGAAGATTAGCGCTTATTGTTCTACAGAATTGTTTGGTTTAAATGAATTAATCTCTAAGATTTCTCCAAAACTAAAGCACAAAACAAAACAAAAGTATAAAAGGGATCTAATTTTTTTTTAATTCCCCTTAAAACTATTAAAGGAGCATATGTATTTAACACACCTAATTTATTGCCAAAAGTCTCCTAAATTATCAGAAATCATGTTCTTGCCTGAAAAGAATTCTGTTGAAAAATTATGAAACTCATCCCCTGGGTCTCTCTTGGCTCACCTCATCTAATGACACTTTGATTTATTCCGAATATTAACAAATAAGTTTAAATAAGACCAACATTGCTTAATTTTTTGACTGCAGGCAACTTGACCTCTGTTTTTTTTCAAGAAATTTAAATTTACGTGCAATGCTTTATTAATTCGTTGGGCTAGCCGAGGCATAAATTATGTTATTAATTAATTAAAAGCAACGCGAGGCGATTTGTTCAACATATATACATATATGTATATGCACGAATTTATAGGATGGGTTCTTGGTATAAAAAGAAAGCATCTCATATTAATAACATCGTGATCGTCATTGGGGTATTTTCGGAATTTCCAAACAGTGAAAGAGAATTTGTTGTAGGCGTTTATTAATATATTTTTTATTTTGTCCACCAGGAAACATGCATCGCAAGGTGTAATTATGAATAAGTGCAAGCGTTCGAATTAATGACGCGCGCGGCGGTTACAAAAACGAGAATTCATTGCCCATTTTGCGGGTTGACAAAATAAAGATTCTTCAACCCTCCTCCTTCGGGTAATAAACCCCACAAATGGCAATAATCGTCAAAAATAATGCCGGCTAAATGTAATCATAACATAAATACATATTTAAGAGCCAGCGACACGCTTTTGTTTCTTGTGCTGGGTTTTAGTACGAATAAAATATTTCTGGGCGGGTTTCTCCAACTCTCTGGGAAAAGGGCGAAACAGATTTATGAGTTTGGATTTGTTTTTATAGAGCACAAGTATATCCGTTGTCCTTGGACTAGTTCGTCACTCTCTTTCTCTCTCGTTCAGGCGATGGAAATATATAAAAGTTTTATGCGAAACGAAAGGAAGTTGGGGAATATATTCTCAAAGTCCTTGACTGACTTTCCAGAGAGAGTTATTGAAGCGGAACATGAAAAAGGGATATATTTAAATGGGGTCAATAGTATGGAAATTAGATGTAATTGACGGAAAGAAGAAGAGAATATACAAAATGAGGGTCTCTATGGGATGCTATTTCATTTTAGTCATGTTCAAATAAATTAAAGTGTTTTAAGAATAAATGCATTTCCGATATTGGAAATAAAAAAAGTCAATTCTTGGTTTGACTAGAATATATTTAATTAGTGTTATTTCTGTATTATTAAATTAAAAGAATTCAAAATTATATATAGTTTCCAAATGTTTATATGTTTGGAATACATTAGAGAGGAATACATAGATGAGTTTAATAATAATTATTTGAATTTCTTCTTCAAATAATTCCACACCTTAAAAATAGTAATTATAAGTATTTTTCTTTTGAATTAAAAGAGAAACAAGCCAAGTTTCTTAAACAACATTAAGACAACATTTCCTATTTTCATAAAACAAGAACTTCATCATTACAAAAGTAAAACAAAAATAAAATACTAGCATGTTTCAGAGGTCAATCTTTATGATTCTTAAAAAGGTTATCACTTATTTATCAAGATCACGGAAATTCCTATGACCCAAAGCTTTTAAAAAAAAAAACCCTCTAATTATCAGGCATTTTTCAAATTTTTATATTTTCCACTCCAAAAATTAAGATTTACCCCGCCTTATGGTGTGTAATTAGCTAATTGCGCTTATTAATTCGGCCGTGGCTAATTATAGTACTAAAAGCTTAATCATCAAACTGAATTTATCTCCACTTTTTTGTTTCTATTTTGGAAAGCAAACATTTATGATTTGTTGCTATTTTTTACACTATTTAACGATTACTCACCAAACTAATTTTTAAGAGGCAAAAGTCGCCGGCCGTTTGCCGCAACGGCTGCTGTTTTGGTTTTTTGTTTCAATTTTGGCCTTTCTGGCTTCTTAACGATCTCGCCGCCGTCGATCTATTTATTGTTGTTGTTCTGGTTGCGATTGTCTGGCTTCTGAGTTCTGATTTTTTTGCTGGAGCAAAATTTGAACGCTTGCGAAATTGTTAAAAATAAATATGTTACTTTAAGAGCGCACGATTTTCCACGACCACGTCTTGCCGTCTCGCCGATTTTCCCTCGTTTTGGCCAGCAATAATAACAAGAAAAAAGCGAAAACCGCTGAAGCCGACACAGAAACAGAAATAAACTCAACACTCAGCGTTTCTCGGGAGGGGGCTATATAGCTGAAGGTATAGATAGGATAGGTATTATGGGTACCAGATCCACTGGACACACACACCGGTCGCCACTGGGATTTGCTTTATTTGTGTCACTTTTTTGTGGGTTTTTTCAGTTGTTAGGTCTTTCAGTTGTTTTTTTTTTTAGCATTTGTTTGTTTTGTTTATACGCTGGGATCGTGAGATCCAAGAGATCTAGAATTTCCGGTTTTTGCAGCAGCAGCAGGCTGCAGTTTTTCTTATTGTTTTTCGTCTCCGTTGGAGCAGTGCCGCAACAATTGCACTATGCAAATGCCTTCCAACTGGCCGTAATTAATCAAAACTAACGTTTAACGGGCAATTTGAATGTTTTTCCGACTCAGACCAATGCCGCCGGAGTCTTAAGATTTTCCTCTAGCGGTTTTTCAGAGCTAATTTTCCTGGGTTGACCAGCCGCTTCCACGTTTTGCACGAAACTGAAACGTAAAATCTGCGAATCGCTCGCCTCGCGTCGTCGTCGTCGTTGCTGCTGCTGCTGCTGCTCGTTGTTCGTTTCTTTGGGGGAATGGTGATGAAGGTGGACGAGGAGGAGGAGGAGGAGATGGTGGAGGTGCCCCTGCTCCTCCGACTATAATGATGATGCTGCTGGTGGTGCTGGTGGTGCTGGTGTTGGTGGGGAAGCTGTGTGTCCGGATGTGTTTGTGTTTGCTCTCCATGTGTGCCGCCTTTCGGCTTCGACGGAGTGTCTCCTCGAGTGCCAGCGGTCCATCTTACAAATCCCAAGACCTAAGCTTGATGGTTGCGGCAGGACAGGATCACAGCAGGATGGCCATAACGGAACAGTGTCCGTAATCAGTGACACTGATAAGGCAGCTGTGATAGTGTGCGCCTGGCTAATTTACAACCCACGCTAATAAACTGAAAACCTTTATAATATTTTATCAAAAATACACTTTGAAAATAAATAGGTTTCTTGGATTATAATCTAACATTTATGTATTCTATTAATTCGTTTATTTTTAACATTAAACACTTTAACACTTTAAATTTATTTGGTAAGAAAATTTGTTATTCACTTTGACTCTAAATCTGAATTCTAAATATTGATTTATAGTTAAATAATTGAAATATAAAAAACACACAATTAAAATTATAAGAAACTTTGAAACTCATATATATATTTCATGAATTATAACTTGCAAAGAAAATGAGTGGATGTGATAAATTAGAAGACGGTTATTTCATGGTCGGCCTGAATTCCGATTTTAAGTTCTCTAAAATTAAGATAAACATTATTTCAAAATATGTTCATAAATTTCTTAAAACTCCTCAAGAACAAAGAGTAGTTTTTCCTGGAAGTATACATTTTTTGAAGTTAACACAAATGAAATATAAAATTATGAATTTGGTTGAATAAAAGTAGATAAAAGAGCCAAATAAATTAACATTATGAAAGATTGAACAATATATAATATACCTTGAAAAAGTCAGAAAAACTTCCCTACAAAATTTAAATATCAGTACTAACCGTACTTATAAAATGAAATTGTAAGATTTTTGTTATTTTAATTACTTATTATTAATTTATTTAATATTTATATTGTCTTGTGTAAATCTCACAACATGAGCATAAAAAAATATGAATAAAAATAATGAAAATGTACAAAATATTTTGAATTCTAATTTTCCGTGGACCACTTTGCTTCACAAATTATTTAGACAATTAAGTTTAATATGTTTTTTTTCTTCAGTGTAATGTTTGTTTTTAGTAGACATCGCGGCAGCGGCGCTGCCGAAATAATTTGGAGAAATATATTTTGTGTATTTACGAGCCCTCTGTCAGTGTAAGCAAACGGCGAGAGCTGCGGCTCTTTAACAGATTTTTGGTTTTAGTTTTCTTTTTGTTTTTTTTTTTTTGGGTGTTGCGTTGCATGTTTATGTATGTTGATTTTTGCTGGCTGCTTCTGTTGGCCGTTGTAATAAAGGCCGCAAGGTCAGGAACGAGGCGAGCGTTGGGTGGCGTCGCCTGCGTGCCAGAGTCACATTTCAGGTGGCGCACACAATTGTTTTGTGCATTTCAATTTCGTGTTATAATTAGGAGAGCAAGCTTGGTGTTGTTTTTATATCTGGCCTGCGTGCTCTCGTGTGCTTCTGCGACGGCTGCTGCTGCAGTTGTCCTGCTGGCAGGCAAGGGCAAGGACATTTGTTGTTCACTCACCTCCTTGAGAACGCGAAGCCGCCAGGCCAAGCTTTGCCCGCAGACCGGAAGTCTTGTCATGGTCGCCGTGCCAGTCTGTCGACAGCAATTAAGTTGTATTTTAATTGTCAAGTAAAATTTAGACAGCCAACTTAGTAACACACCTTCTTTCCAGCATGACCGCCAGAGTCGTAGGCTGTGTTTAACCAATATGCAGGCACAGCCCACGTATGGGAATATAATACCTTTCAAATAAACCGAAAAATCCATCGGAGAATAAGCGTTTGTAATAAATTAAATTTTTGAAATTTCCCGCCCGATAAATCGATTACTCGGTGGGAAGTGTTGCCAGATCAATGCTAAAACATATACATTTGAAGATCAAGACTTCTGATAGAATTTCCAACTGGTTCTAGGTCTTGCTTGTCCTTTAAATTATTTTAATTATTTATTGACAAAGTGATTAATATTTAAGTTTTTTAACAAAACCGACTAGATCTTAAGTCTGCAATAACTTCTTTCTATTTAGGCAACTAGTATATATTTCCCAACCGGAAGGTATTTTTCATTCACTTGGGCCCGGTCACATTGTTAAAAATATATTTTTTGGCATTAGAACCATCCATCAGATACAATAATCAAAACATTTAGATACGGATTGTAATACTTAATCTCAACCATTATGCAGTTCTCCTGGATGAAGGTGGCCATTTACCTGTTAACCTTCCTCACATACGCCTACTCTGGCTACGGTTCAAGCACCATAGTTCATGTAAGTTTCTTCTGCTCGGAGAGATCTTTAAGAGAGATGCTAAACTACATTCTTCTCCCCTTGCCATCATTGCAGCTAAGGGATGCCATTATTGCAGCCGAGGCTATCTTTGGTGACGTGTTCAAGAACATGATAGTCCTCGTGCGCAAGTTCAGGACTGTCCACGAGGTGTTTGACGCCGCCGTGGAGGAGAACTGCGTGTACCAATGCCCGGCGCCGGATATCGGGGGACCAGGTGTGTGTTTGCTTGTGACGCAAATGCTGATCGAATTATGTAAAGGGCCCGGCACCTAGCTATATGTTCTCCCCCGTCTCTTCCATACAGCACCGAGGGCGGTACAGAACAAGTTTTATACCCCAACTGCCGATGGTTGCGGCTCCCTTGGACTCCGGATCAGTACGGATTACCTGCCGGCGGCGGAGATGGAGACCTGCTGCAATGCCCACGACATCTGCTACGAGACCTGCAACAGCGACAAGGAGCTCTGCGACCTCGACTTCAAAAGATGTCTCTACAAGTACTGCGACAGCTACGAAAAATCCATTGCCAGTGATCTGATGACCAAGGGATGCAAAGCGGCGGCCAAGATGCTCTTCACGGGCACCCTGACCCTGGGCTGCCGGTCGTATCTGGACTGCCAAAAGCGATCCTGCTACTGTGCCCCCGGGAAGTCATCATCGTCCTCATCGAATGGCAACCATAAGCAGCAGCAGTGGAACAGTCGGGAGAAGCAGCAGCGTCAGAAGTACGGATGGAAGGATCGGAACGAGATATAGTACATAGAAGGGTGCGGGGCACAAGGGGATATTTGAATAAGAGTGCGTTAAATGTTGTCGTTGAACAGTGTTGTGTTAGTTTTCTTAGTTTAATTTCCACATTGTACGAATTTCATAATAACAATACCAAATAGTGGCATATGAACGGTCTAGACTGTTAAATATATTTATATTTTTACCAATTATAAGTGTGTTTTATTTTTATTCATTTATTTAGATTTCTTAGGATGACGTGTCATTAACTTTAAAGAATATATATTAAAAAAATTATCTTTACACGAAGAATTTTCCATTTGAGTCATAAAATATTTTTTAAATAGACAATAAATATTCTATCCTTTTTAAAAATTATACTTAAATTTAAACACAAAATTAGGACCACAAAAAAATTTATTTTACAATCATTTGCTACAATTACTTGTAAATATATAAATCATTCCAGGCAAACTACACAATATACATTGTTTAAAATGCAAACATAGCTTTTTTAACAGATTCCTATTAAAATATTTATGATCGTTGTTACACTTTCTATACAAATTTTAGTAAACATCATATACAGTAAATCTAAATATAATCAATATATAAATATACTGTTTTAGAAATTAAAATATATATGAACACTTTTTTATTTGTTTTTTATTGTTTTAAATAATACAAAAATTATGAATTCAAATATATAAGAATGTGGCCAAACATGTTCATATTTCTAGGCTGACCGCTGGTATTAATTGTATCACCAGAAATGGTCACACTACTGGACAAATAAAAAAACAAAAAAAAAAGCTAAACATTTTGCAATCCGCAGAAAAACGCTGTAAATAAATAGTTTGTCCAGGCTGATGAATGGCTTGAGCAGCGGATACGAAAACTGAGATGGGCTACGACGTCAACCGCTTTCAGGGGGAGGTGGACGAGGAGCTCACCTGCCCCATCTGCTCCGGTGTGCTGGAGGATCCGCTTCAGGTTTGTTTTGTTTGCAGTTCGTGCGAAGTACACACACAGCTAACATACCTTGGATTTCTTGATGCAGGCGGTGATGTGCGAACACGCCTTCTGTCGCGGATGCATCAACGAGTGGCTGACTCGCCAGCCCACATGTCCCGTGGATCGCAACGCCCTGACAACCGCCAACCTGCGCGCCGTTCCCCGTATATTGCGCAACCTGCTGTCCAGGTGAGAGCCTGTCACTCCTTCTCTCCCAGCTTCTCTTAACCAATGGCCCCTTCTGTCCACAGACTGTCTATTACCTGCGACAATGCCCTGTATGGCTGCTCGGCCGTTCTGAAGTTGGATGCGTACAACTCGCATTTGGAGGAGTGCATCCACAATCCCAAGCGTCCGTTTCCGTGCGAGAAAGGGTGCGGCTTTGACATACCCAAGGACGAGCTAAAAGACCATAACTGTGTTCGCGAGCTGCGCACTCTTATCGTAAAGCAGACGGAGAAAATGGGCGAACTGAAATCTGAGCTAACCGACCAGCAGCTGACCATCAACGAGCTAAAGCGAGAGCTGCAGCTGTTCAAGGACTTTATGCGTGCCATGCGAGTCTCCAATCCGGCGATGCGGGCAATAGCCGACCAGATGGAGCGCGATGAAGTGATCCGCTGGAGCAGCACGTTGCCCCGGGCCAGGGTGACAAGGTGGGGGGGAATGATCTCGACGCCCGACGATGCTTTGCAGGTAAGATGGGAGTTTTCTCTTATTAATGAAAATGTATTTGGAAAAATTTTGTAATGCTCCTAAAGTTAAAAAAATACGTAGAGATCCAGTCGTGAATATGGAACTTGTATAAAGATTAGATAAGATCTTGAAACCGATATATCAATCAATATATTATCAAAAAGCACGAAAAGATTAGATAAATTACAACTATATTATATCTTAGTCTTGTAAATGTACATAAATGACTTTTATACAATAATTTCCATAATAAAATACTTACTACTCCACAGCTTATGATCAAGCGTGCTCTGTCAGAGTCGGGTTGTCCGCCACACATCCTGGATAGCCTAATGGAGTTCTGTCACGAACGACGCTGGCCAAGGGGCCTCAGTTCTCTGGAGACGCGACAAACCAACCGTAGGATCTACGACAACTATGTGTGCCGACGCATTCCAGGTAAGCCAGTTGCATTAGTTTATTTATTTATTTATCAAATCAATTGTTAATTGAACGACAGGCAAGCAGGCTGTACTCGTACTGAGCTGCGACAACCTTCATATGACTGAGGACGTCATGATCGATCCCGGCCTGGTCATGATCTTCGCCCATGGCATTGAGTAGCTTAACCACTTATCCTAGGTTTGCTGCCAACTATTCGAATTCGAAAAGTGCTCAGTTTATGTTGTTTCCTTAACTTAAGCGTAACCATTAAAGAAAGGTATCGGCGGTCTACGTCATGGTAGCATTAATAGACGTAAGGAAAATCTCGCAAAACGAAAAGCCACACAAAGGAACCATTCAAGCGCCTCATCACGACTCTCAAGTTGTACAAAAACAAAAATTTTAAATTTATACCCATTCATTGTTTTTTTCCATTTAGTTCATACACTAATAATCTCTGTTCGATTAAGCGATCTCAACAAGACATCCATCCCTTTTTGTTAATTTTGTTCACTTCGGAAGGAAGGAAGCTTAGTGTGAGTGTCTTAATTCGTGTTTCGATTCCTATTGCACATCATACTTAAAGTTTTAAAACAATTATCTTATACTTATATAGATATAAATTAAAAGTGAAGCAAATAATAATAAAGTTTATTCGAATTATGTATAGTGTAAAGGTATTGTAAGTTTTCTGTGGAATATTGTTGGGTTTTTTATAAGAATTCTATCTTCAAAACAGTTTTTAAGAAAATCTACACACATTTTCCACCAATTTCATGTTGCTTAGCCTTAAAAAAATGTGCTTGATAAAATGTTTCTTAATTTGTTGTTTTCAAAAATATTTCTATAAATTTTCCACCATATATCACATTATATTTAAAAAAAATCTGTTCTATGTTTTCAATTCAACTAATTGAGATCAGAAATATAATGTATTAGGGGGTCTGCCCCTCTTATCAGCTGGCAGGAAGGGCAGACAATCGGTCGGCACTGAGAATACCAGACAGAAGTTCATTGGGTTGCCCCCTCCACACACATCTAGCGATACGCCTCCGCCTCTCTTGAGATCCGTAAATGTTCTGGACAACATCTGTTTCCCGAAAAGGAAATCTAAAGGCAGAGTGTAAAAAATAAACAAAACAAAAGAAAACCAAACTAGTTCCTTGACGAGCTTTTGGGATGCAAACCGGTTTCGGCCTTTGTACACCCGTTTCGTGTTTTTTCCTACATAATACAACTTTATTAAATATGTTTGCATCTAGGGTTACATGTGCCAAAAATCGTTTGATTATACAATTCAGTTTTTTGTTTCTGGTATTTGCCGAAACATTTTGAATATTGATAGAAGCAATTAGCGCCGGCGAACAAAAGGGGACGCCCCCTGTGGCGATTGAAAAGTGAGAGTTGGATCGACATCGGCATCGGCACATGTGGAAGAGGCGGAGATCCAAGCCAACAGTTGTACGCGAGGCGCCATAGTTAGCGGACGTGTCCAGCACAGCGATCTCTCCCAAGTCCCCAGACTCAACCCCAAGAGAACTCTATTCGAAATTCGAATCCGAAATGAATCCGTCGGTGCTAATTGTGGCCCTCGCCTGTCTGGGAGCCGCGTCAGCATTCCCCCAACTGAGGCAGCGCAACGAGAAGCAGGTCCAGACCGGCGAAGTTGATTTGCGTAAGTCTTGGGTCATAATTAGATTTTGTTTTTATTTTTTTTTTATAAAAAGCAGATATTCATTGAGTGGGGTTTTTATATGCTTTAAATCTATGGACATTTTTTTTATTTTAAAGCTTGTGTAATCTTAAACTTATAATTTTAAAATCGTTTTAATATCGTTTATGTTTTTTGAAAGTATTTCTTATCCTTTAAGGCGTCAATAGATTTAGTTGTATACATCTTTGTGTAGTGTTAAATTCCTTTTAATTTTAAATGTTATTTCATTTATTTTCAACCCATCAGATAAATAAAGCCAAAAGTTTCTAAAAATTCATTATTTTTTAAAAAAGTTTTAAAATATTTTTCTAATATCTTTCGAGACTAAATAAATAAAAACTACTGACAATGACTATAAAATAGCAAGTTTTTAAACTCGAAAGAGCAAATATCTTTATTAAAACAATAACAAATAACTAACATATTTTACCGATTATCGTATATATTTTTATTACTTAAAATTTAAACCCATTAAATAGTAATAAATTTAAACTTAATATGTTTTTCAGCCTCGAAGGGTGCGACTATTGAGGAAGTGGTAGTGGAATCCGCCCTATACATCAAGCCAAAGTCCAATCCGCAGGTGCGACGCGTGCGCTCTGCTCTAGAATCGGGCATATATGCCACCCACAAGAGGGTGAAGCGTCAATTTGGCCGACAATTCGGTAATCAGTATGCTGGAAATCCAGGCTTCGGAAGCGGTTTTGGTGGAAACCAGGGCTTCAGAGGAAATCAGGGCTTTGGAGGCGGTTTTGGTGGAAACCAAGGATTCGGTTCAAACGTTCAGGCAGGCACAACGGCCGGATCTGGCGGCACCAAGGCGGGCGTTGATGTTGGAGCCGGACCAAACGGCGGCAATGCTAATGCCAATGTCCAGCTAAACCCGCTCGGACCCCTTGGACCCAATGGCTACAATCAGGAACAGGCTGCCTCCAATGGTGCTGCCAATAGTCACTACAACAATGGACCTAACTCCGGCTCCTCGGCTGCCATTGGACAAGCGCAGGGCTTCCAGTCGCAGAGTGCCAACGGATCATTTGGTGCCTCCTCGGCCAGCACAGCCACCCAGTCGCAAAATATCAACCCCTTTGGCACTAATAATGCTGCTGGTGCCTCACTGAGCCAGGTTTATCACCTGCCCAACGGACAGACCATTAACTTTAGCTCCACGAACAGCTTCGCCAATGGAGGAGCCAACAAAGGCAGCAGCCATGGATCGGCGGTTTCTGTGAGCCGTTAATTGCCATAGTCAGTTTATCCTGGGAATCGAATATTTGTGTGAAAATATGTTTGAATAAATATTTATGATCAAGTAAACTGTTCGAAATAATATGAAAACAAGAAAGGAAGCTAACTTTATATACCCTTGCAGATAGAACTTCTATGAATAGGAATCCATACAATATAAATTATATATATTTGTGTTAAAAACAATGAAGTAATACCTGCTTTCATTTCATTCACCTTTACATATTATATTTGCAGTTTTACATTCACAGATTTGCATTTTTCCTCTACATCAAACGATCGTTTGTATGGCACCTATATGATATAGTCGTCCGATTTTTATGAAATTTGCCACAAAATTTTAGACTTATATAAAATGGCTATACCTCAAATTTGATGAAAATCAGCTGAAAACTAAAAAAGTTATATATATACTTTATATAGTCGGAGGTGCCTCCTTCACTGCGTTGCAAACTTCTGACTGAAATTATAATACCCTGCAAGGGTATAAAAATATATATTTGGCTAATAATCGAAATAAGAAAAACGAAAAGCGCCACAAAAGATCGAGGAACTCTAAAGGTAAATTTCTTTTAAGGGATCAAGATACGAAATAAAGATAGATAATGCAAGCTAATAAGAACCTTAAAAAAGAATGCCATCACATAACTTTAATATATGTTAATCTTTTAAGATAGTTTACCCTTTGGACTATCCAGTAGACTCTCTGCTCCCAAACAAGTCATAACCTGAGGTATTCATTAGCAGCTTTACCTTAAATATTATATTAAATATAATATTAATATGAAAAGGTTTCTTAGTTTTAAAAATTTGGTTTATTTTATGTATAATGGTTTTTGCGCTTACTTTGTAGAGATACTTTCTCTTCTCTATTACTACAATTGAAAAAGTTAAATTGTAAAAGTAGTTCATCTTTTTTGCCCAACTAAGCCCAATCCTCTGCACTAATCCGACTCGCTTTCGCTCTCCGATTGGAAGTCACCCACTTCAATGGAGAATTTGTACTCCTGATCGCATCCCAGGTAGGAATCGCTCATGTAGTACAGAGTATAGTCGTGCTTTCCCGGACTGGGGGCCACAAAGTCCAGCTTAACCTTTGCCTTCTGCTGTAGTGTCAGACGCTTGATGGATAGCAGGGAATTGGTCTTCGGATCGCCAATAACGACCCACCAGCCCTCCTCTCGCTTCTGGGGGAAGAACGGAGCAATGACCGGGCCGGTGACCTCGTCCTCACGCTCCAGTTGGACAACGACATTGACAGTTGAACCCGAATTGATGCGATCCTTGTCCACTACCTCATAGTTGAGTTCAATGTTGGGATAGCGATTGCAGAAGCGTGCCACATCGGCCATTTGCAAGTCCGAAAGCTGCAACAACCTCGAGCGATCCTCATCCTCCAGTTCCATAATATCGAAAACGGTTTCGATTTTCTGCAAAGCAAGATAAAATAGTAACAATCGCTTTAAAGGTAGCATCTCAATCCTTTACCTTCTCTGTGCACCGCTTGACTATTTCGGCACTGAAGTGCGGCAGCTGTCGCAAATACGAGTCCTTGCTCCACATGGCCTGTGTGACCATCTGGGCCAGCTCCATGGCAGCCACAGCCGGCGAGAGCCAACCGTTCGAACTGAGCACATCTACACAGGCCTGTATGAGTCGAATGGCCTTGCTAAGTATCTGCTCCGTATCGCCCTGGAGCTCAGGTCCCAACTGCAGACGCGAGAGATGGGCCTGGAGCAGCAAATTGGTCTTAATATGGGGGTCGTTGAACCTGTAATAATTTGGGGCTTAGAATTGTGGAAATGATTGATTAAATAATTGCTTTACTTACTTTGGAGCCGTTTCATTGGGTCCCGTAAGCTTGTTCGGCAATCGCTGAGACAGTGTGCGCAGGACCTGCTCTTCATGATGCCTGACCACCACATCCTCGTACTCCGCTGCCGATGAGATTATCTCCAGCAGGCCACGCACTTTTGTTTTGCTGTTCAGCGACAAACTAAAGAGTTCTACGCAAATAAAAATTAAAAAATACAAAATTAAATAAGTTATTCCACATTAATTAATTAACCATTTTTTTCCCCTTACCAATAGTCGTGTAGTTGATGTAATAATAGGCCGCAATCATGCCCAGATTGAGGGGCAGCGTGTCCATGTCATCCTCTACACTTATGCACTTCGACTGCTCTAGGTCGCTCAGAGTGTTCTCCACCAACTCGGACAGATGATCGGATAGATGGCGATGCGTGACACCTTGGAGATTGTAATAGTTCGGATTCTGGGTTAGTCTTCGGTAGAGGAAAGTCCACGTGAGGTAGTCCACGGCATCCTGTTTGTTCTCAATCGTCTTGGTCACCACCTCAGCGTTAAAGTGATCGTGCATTCGGTGATCCAAGTGGCTTTCGATTGGCAGCGGCTCATTGATGAACTTCTTGAAGAAGTCTTTCTTGCTGCTCTGACACATCAGGACGCATTTGGCATCCGCATCCTCATTGGGCCGGTTAGCTCTTCCGATCATTTGCAGCACGTCCGTTATGGGGTAATCCTCGTAAGAATGATTCTTGCCATTGTAAAACTGTGTGTCCATAATGATCACCAAGTGAGCGGATATGCTCATTCCCCAGCAGAGATCTCGGGACACAACGGCCACTTGCACGGCTCCCGAGTCGAACAGCTGCTCCACCAGGCGATGATCGGAGGAGGATAGACCCTCGTGTAGGTACGCCACTCCTTGGGCTAGAGTTTCCTTCAAAGTTTTATCCGTCATTCGCTCCAGGAACGGCTTGATGTCCTCCTCCTCGGCGTGGAAGAAGCGATTCGGTTGCAAGTCCGAAGCAGCATAGGTAAGAATATCGATCGCCGTAAGCCGGGCCTGTTTTCTCGAAGATACGAACACAATAACCGGCTTGTGGACACTGTACTTCAGGATGGCATTGTAAACGGGTTTCGACATGGTGGCAATTCTGGTGGCGTTGTGGGTGACATTAAATCCCTGGATGTGCAACTCCAAGGGAATGGGACGCACACTCGGATGGAAGTTGAAGGTGGCATTGGGATTGCATCCGAGCCACTGGGCCACATCCCTAGCATCGGTCAGCGAGGCGGAAAGAGCCACAATTCTGATCTGCTTCTCAATCTGTGAGCTAATGTACCGCATCCTAGAGCACACAATTTCGAGCACAGGCCCATCCTCGCCGCCCACCAGTTGTAGTTCGTCCACAATAAACAGGTTCACCAGCTGCACATTCTTCCTCTGCTTCCATCGGCGAGACAACACATCCCACTTGTCCGCCGTTGTGATCACCAACTGTCCCTTGGCTATCAGCTTGAGATCCGTTCCAGTTTCGCCCGTCAACTTGACGACCTTGATGTCCAGCGCCGCAAACTTTCCGTGCCAGTCCGCAAAGACCAGATCAGCCAGAGCCTCCTGGGAAACCAGGTACACGCATCTGGCATCCGATTGTGTGGTGAATAATCGCATAATGGCAAACTCGGCAATGGTCATCTTGCCAGAGCCAGTCGGGGCTCCAACAAAGACGTTCTCGTCGCTATTATAGACCGCGTTGAAAACCTGCGTCTGTATGGGATTAAACTGCGGAAATTGCTGCGAGTAAAAAGCCTCAAACTTTGGCTGACGCAAAGCACTAATGGGCAGCGGTTGCAGATCCAGCAGCTCTGTCGGCGGCATATTCTTCTCGGGCAGAATGAGGTGACGGAAGGACACGGGCAACTGGGTCTCCGCACCGATCCAGCGATCTGAGACAATCCGGAGGAAGTACTGTGGCGGCAGGGGCTCAAAAACGGGCACGAAGAACTTCAACTGGTGCTCGTCCTGGGAATACTTCTGCTTTAGCAGGAAGAACTCGTGATGAAGTATGAGTTCCGAGTCCACGTCTTCAATGAGCACCCAGAATCCCTCAGACTGGCCGTGAACCTTCTCGTCCCACTGGAAATCGGGTGTAATGGTAAGCTCCACCCTGAGTGTTCCCCTGGTTATGGGCTGAATGTGCGTGGAGAGCTCCAGCTTGGGGAACTGATGCACGAACTTGTGAATCGTCTTGCCCAATTTGGGTACGCGAATCAGCTCGCCCAGTTCGTGGGGCTCCAGGTCGTAGAGCCTGGCCCATGGGAAGTGCTTCTTCTCCAGCTTCTTGGCTATCTCATCGGGCATCTTCTTGAACTGGCGCAGCGGCGTCATGGATTGCCACATGCGTCGGTCAATCATCTTGCATAGCGTCAGCGTTTTGTCCGCTAGTTGGGCCCAGCCTCGGGTCAGGACTATCTCGAAGATGGCACGCATTAAACGGGCAGCGGATTGGGTGATGAACACCATGTCTGACATCAAAGCGAAACCCTCCAACTTCAATTGCGAGATATAGGCCTGCAGCAGCACGTTTACCTTGGCGCTGTGCTCCTCGATCGACTCCTTGATGGGTATAGGGACTCGTTCCATAAGCTTCTGCAGCTCCAGTTTCTCCTCCTCTCGCACCGAGATGTGTCGGAATTCGGAGGATAAAGAAAACACACGAAACAGCTCGATCTCGCTAAGCGTTTGCTTTAGCAATTGGTTGTACGTCAGCATGGTCTCGTGCGTTAGGTAATAGTGAGAAGCAATCCGGCCGAGATCGGTGACCTGAAAGTGTCCCGTCTTCCGTTCGTACTTGACCAGGCCACTCCTCTCCAGACAACAGGCAGCGGTGTGGAGCAAATCCGCACGGTGCTGTTCCAACAGGGGATCAGCCTTGATCGCGTCATGTGATACTCCGTACAAGGTGGGATTCCTTAACATTCTGATGTAGAGGTAAGTATAGCCAAGCCAATTAACTGCGTCCTGCAGATGCTGCACTGTTCCCAGAACAATCTCTGCGTTCAGCATGTCCGGGAGCTTGGAGATGAACTGCGACTCGATGGGAAGCTGCTGGTTGAGCAGGGAGAGATAGAACTGCAGCTCGCTATGGTTGGTGATGAGAATGCCCTCGCCTTTGGTATCGTACTGCGGTCGTCCGGCGCGACCCAACATCTGCAGGACATCCAGAGCACTCAACTCTACCCAGCGACCCTTCTCCGGGTTGTAGACTTGCGTTCCCTTGATGATTACCGTGTGCGCCGGCAGATTCACACCCCAGGCCAAAGTGGCTGTGGAAACCAGAACCTGGATGTGCCGGTCCGCAAAGAGATCCTCAACAAGGGTACGATCCACACGCGTCATTCCAGCATGATGGATGGCAAAGCCGTAGGGCAGCAGTTCCTTCAACTCGGTGTTCTTTACTTGCTCGGCCTCAGTGCGAAGCACTTCCATGCTGGCAGATCCCTCCCTCAGGAAGCTGCCGAGAGTGTCCTGCTCCAGGCACATGTCCCTCACCGCCCTGGCCGTTTTGCCGGTCTCCTTGCGCGAGTGTACAAAGACCAGCACTTGATTTCTGCCGGCATGCTCCATAGTCTTCTCGTAGACGATCTCGTTCATCACCTGGAAGCGCTTCAGAGCCTTTTTCTCGGTCACACCGATGTACTGCTGCTCCAGAGACACTGGTCGATAGCTGTTGTCGAAGTAGAAGAGTCCCTTGTCCGGCTTTACGCGCAAGAAAGTAGCCACATCCTGGTAATTGGGCAGCGTGGCCGACAGTCCCACTAGACGCACCTCCTCCTGAGTGGTCTCAATATTACGAATGGTACGCGCCACTAAAGCCTCCAACACCGGACCTCGCTCGTCGTGCAGCAAATGGATTTCATCGATGATGACCAAGCGCACCAGGCTCACAAAGGTTCGCTCTCCGCCCTTTCGCGTGATGATATCCCACTTCTCCGGGGTGCAAACTATAACCTGGGTGGCTGCAATTTGCTCCCTGGTCAGCTGATGGTCGCCGGTCAACTCGGAGACCGTGAGGTTATAGCAGGCAAGACGACGTCCGAAATTGCCCACCATTTCCTGCACCAACGACTTCATGGGGGCCACGTAGATGATCTTGAAGTCCTGCGCATTGATGGTGCCGTCCTCGTTTATGTGCTTACCGATTTCCCGCATCATGGTGAGCAGCGCCACATTGGTCTTACCCGCTCCGGTGGGTGCACACAGCAGCATATTCTCATCACTGTCCAGCGCGGCCTTGTACAAGCGACTCTGGATGCGGTTGAGCGTCTTGAAGCCCTCGAACACAGGCTGGACATACTTCGGCAGCTTATCCACAGGCTGCAGCTCCTCGTTGGAGTCGAAGGGCACTGGCTTCAAAGCCGGCACATGCACCTCCTCGTAGCCCTTGCGCTGCTTCCTGTACGAACCATCCGGCAGCTGGCACCGCTTGTTAGCCATGAAATGAGATCCCTGTGTGAAGGCCAGTTCATCCAATTCAAGAAGCTGGCGAACACCAGCCACCTGACCAGCAGCTGCTGCTCCTCCATCCTCGGAATCACCTTTGCCGCGTTTGCTTCCCCGGGTCTCACCCTCCTCCTGCTCCTCGGACTTGCCAGTGTCCAGCTGTCTGAGAATCTTGGCCAGCGCTGAGTTACCACGCATTTTCTCGCGTATTCTTTGGCGTTCGCTGTCCGTTTGGGCCGAGGCCAACATGGTGCAGTACAGGATCATCTGTCGGTTCACCTTCAACTGTTTGATGAAATCAAAACAATCGTAGCCCAGCAGGAGCACCAATTGGTTCTCGCAGTCTCGCTCGTCAGCGGCATCTTTGAGGATCTTGAGCACATCGGCCGCCTTGCTCTGCGACACCATGGCGTCCTTGTAAAACTTGCTCAGACAACGCTGCAGCCAATAAGCGTCTATGTCCAGTGGATGCAGGGAGCGGTCTTTCTTCACATTGTTCGCCGCCTCCTCATTAGCAAGCTGGGAATAGAAGTGCAAATTAAATTTGGGTCTGCCACTCTCAATTACATTACTTACATTCTCTGCATGCAGGGTGTGATCAATGCGCGCCTCTTCGCCCTCATCCTGGCCCTCGTCGTCACGGATCTCGCCGTACATGTCATTGTCGCTCTCCTCTTCGGACTCCTCGAACTGTACGTTGATGCCGTAGGTTTCGTCGATCTGCTCCTCGTTGTTTGGCGCCGCAGTCAGCGCATTAACAGCGTCGCTGCCAAAGTCTGTGATCTTCTTGCCAAGGTTGACGAGCAGAGCAAACCGCTCGTCGGTGACCGAGCCCAACAAACTGTCCACATCCCTCTTACGCTCCCGATCCTTCAGACGATCATTCTTTAGCACAGCTAAGATCTCATCGGCGGCGCCGCACAGGATATCCCGAGGCTGATCCCCAAGAGCTTCCTGGATGAAACTGAGCAGCACCTCGTAGGTTTGGCGGGTTTCCTGCGTCTTCGGACGGTACACAATACCAACCATCTCATCGATGCCCTCGGACAGCAACGTAGCGCCCTTCATACGCTCAAAGTCGTACTGCGCCTCGTCGCGCTTCTGCCGCTTTACTTTGCGCTCCTCCGTCTTCTCCGGTTTGGTGCGCTGGTATCGATCGCCCATCCGGGTGCCGTCTAGCTTTCCCACCAGGGAGCACACCTCGCCAGTGGCCTCATCGCGACGCGGCCGTTCAATGAGTCGGACATCGGCTTGCAGCACAAGATTGGAGTTCTGAAAAAATACAAAATTGCATTTAGTGTGTTTGTGAAATCTTCCGAGGACGCCGCATGGACAGGGAAAGTTTTCCGGTCGCGATTCTGCACTTACCGCCTTGTACTCGTACTGCAGCTGACGTGCTGCGGCATCCGCCATGACTGTTGTGTGTTTTGCAAAGGTATTTAATACTTAAATTAACCTATTTTTATAGTTTTTTTGCGAAAGAAAACGTGAAAAGCCGCTGTTTGTGGTCTGCAGTGTGGCCGCGGAAGGTAAGAAAAGAAATACCATGAATAAAAATAAATACCATTAAATACCACTTTATATAGTTCTGTGGAAGTTTTGCTGTTTTTATATTAAAAAAAAAGTGTTTCAATTGAAACTAAATCAAGATATAATTAAAGAATAATTAATTTAAAAAAAAACAAGCGAATTCATAAATTAAACATATTAACGGTATTTCAAGCATAAATACCAAAACAATGTAGTTTGGTATTTTCTTGTGCGGTGGACGTATGCTGCAGGTTTCAACGCCGGCAGCGACGCCGGCGTCTGTTTACAGCGCATCGTTTGTTTTTTTTGTTTTTTGTTCGGTTGACACGCTCCCTGAAGCTTATATATGGTGGATCTGGTTTAACTGGACGCATTCGCCACCGTCGACGGTTACAGATCATTGCACGCGGCCGTCAGAAGCGATCAACCTCATCGGAATCGGAGAACAACAAGAGCAGCTGCAGCATCGATATGTTGACGCCCCCGCACCAGGACGCCTACAATCCCGGCTTCTGCGACTGCCCCTTCCCCAATTCCATCGAGGTCACCAGCCACAAGGGCCACATACCGGATCTGGTCAGGTGCCGCTGCGGCGAGGATGTGCCGGGTAATGTTAGTCCCTGGAAGTGGCAGACATCAGAGGACTCGGATGCAATAGTGACGGATAGAGACATTATTTTCCACCCAACCTACAGTCAAGGAACGGCGATTGTGCGAGGGGAACGGGCACTGAAGCCAGGCATGGTGCACTTCTGGGAAATGCGCGTCATCACTGCTCTAGCCGGCACAGATGTGGTGAGTGCGTGGGTCGGGTTATCACCCCGGGAAATGCAGTAGCTTGGCAACTAGTTGGGATGGATGGATGGATGGCTGATCACCGAGATGAATGTCAGGCAAAGTCGCACCTGAAAGTGGAACAACACTGCTGTGGGGCATCTGGTGTGCTCGATTCCATTGGAAACGACTTAATTGTTCGCTTCATTGTACGGATTACAGATTACAATGCGGCGATAAGATAAGCGACGCTGCTAAAGCAGGAGGAGGAGGAGGAAATCTTCCCAGACAGCCCAACTAGCTAGCTGATAAGCCTGCAAAAGTTCAATGCAAACAGTGTGTTCTTAACAATCTGCTTCCCTATATCTCCTCTTCTAGATGTTCGGCATCGGCACTGAGAGCGTTAATCTAGGGCAGTTCAAGTTCCACTTTGTCTCGGCCCTTGGCACTAATGCCCAGTCCTGGGGCTTTTCGTATTCCGGCAAGGTCCAGCACTGCGGGGAGCAGCTGCCCTACGGCCAGAAGTTTTCCCAGGGCTGCCTGATTGGTGTATATTTGGATCGGACGCGTGGTCACTTGGAGTTCTACCTGAACCGGAGGGCATTGGGTGTGGCCTACACGAATGTGCCCACGGATCCAGATGTTGTCTTATATCCAATGGTTTGCTCCACGGCGGCCAAGTCTGTGATAAGACTGATAAACTGCACGTCCCAGCCAGTGACGCTTCAGCTGCGCGCTTTCCAAGCTCTGTCCAAGCAGCCGAACAAGCTCGCTGAACTGCAGCAGATGCCGGGACTTAAGAGCATTCTGCAATCCTACTGGTTCTTAGCCCCGCCTGTTCGCTACTCCCGGAGTTCGCACGACAACGAATTGGATTTGGGTGACGAGGCTGTCTTGTCTAGTTCCAAGTTAAGGCTGGGTCGAAAGCAAAAGTACCGAGGTGAGTTTATACTTGAAGCACAATCTCTTTTTAGCCGTTACTTATTCAAAGACTTCCATTTATAGAATCCGACGAAGCAAGCATAGATGAAGACGACTTGTACGCCAATGCCCACAAGATCGCGTTGCGACGCAGCGACAGCGGAGACGAGGAACACGCCTCCTCGGTCCATGAGATGTGCGACGAGTACTTTCACTACCTTCTTTAGAATCTAAATAGGAGTATATATGTTACACATGTTAGGTATGCATTTAATTAGAGAATAACTATTAAAATGTATTTTTTTTAAGTCTGATTGGTGGCTTTATCTATGATTTTATTTGTATTTGTTTGTTGATCGGCCTCATTATTAGAACCTGTGGTATGCAGAGGGGTCCGGGACCCATAGCTACTTCGAGTCAGTCATCAAAAGATCGCCGTGATTGCCAGTTTATTGAGACACAAAGCTAAATTTATAAATAATCCAATAAGCAGCACCTCCTAATGACTGCCAGATTTTGCAACTGTCGGTTTCCCAGCTCCATTGAGGTCGCCCATTACAGGGGACGCATATCCGACTTGGTAAGCTGTCGCTGTGGTGAAGGTGCCGCAGACCGTTTAAATCCATGGAATTGGTGCGCTGCGGAGAATATGGATGTCATAGTGATCGATAATAGGGACATAATCTTCCATCCGCAAGGCAGCAAGGGCACAGCTATTGTAAGAGGAACGAAGCCATTAAAAGCCGCGATGGTACATTGCTGGGAGATGCTTATTATGACGCCACTAGTCGGAACAGACGTTGTGAGTTCGCGAGTCGCACGCGACCTAATCCAATAGATAAGAATTTTGATTTATATTTCTCTATCTCTAGATGGTTGGCATCGGTACGGATAAGGTCGATCTGGAGCAATTCAGTTCAAAATATACCTCTGCTCTAGGTGGGAATAACGACTCCTGGGGTTACTCCTATTCCGGAAGAGTTCAGCACGGCGGGAAAAAGTCAATCTATGGTCAGGAGTTTGGACAGGGCTGCCTGATTGGTATTTACTTGGATCGGTCACGTGGCCATTTAGCATTCTATCTGAACCGGAGTCCATTGGGGGTAGCCTACACGAATGTGCCTACAAACGCTGATATAAACGTATATCCCATGGTTAGTTCTACGAATTATAGGTCAGCGATACGACTAGTCAATAGCATGTCCTTGGATGATACGCTGCTACTAAGATCCTTCCAAGTGGCTGCTAAGCAGCCACACATGCTTGCTGAAGTGCGGAAAGTACCAGGATTCATGGAAATCTTACGATCTACTTGGCTGCCGACTGTGTTCCAAGACTTTAAAGCCTTGTAGGTGCTTTATCTTAGTACCATCAGAAATCATTGAAAAATCACAGAAATTGTTTACTTTCCTACTAGTTTTAATCTTGACAATGGCAGATCTTTATATCTTTGATCACTCTTCCTATTCCATATTATATTCCATATATTCCATAAAGGCTCTCAGTTTCAGGATGGATGTACTGATTAATTAGTTCTTGCGGGCCAGCTCTTCTCTCCAACTGACATTCACGTTATTTGTAAGTTTAGTATATGCATTTATTTTTAAAAGCATTTAATTTTAAATACAATTAATAGAGTAAATGGGAGAAAACATGGTTGTGTTTATAAATCATTCAAAAAGGGAAACCTAAGGGGGAACCTATTACTAAGACAGATGAATAGATGGATAGCGATAGCTGGATAGAGGGGTGGAAGATGATTAGTGAAATGCTTATGGTATTAGCATTTCGGTAAGCATCTTCCCAGAGAGTAATGGTTAAACTTAAACTAACTAAAAATCAATTGCCCAGGCCGCCATCAATATCCGATGAGACGGCGCGTTTGAAGATCACGCCCAGCGGTAGCTAGTCCATATCATCATCGTCATCGTCTGAGATGGTGTACTTCTTCTGCGACCGCTTGCGTCGCGTCTGCTTCTTGGATGTGGTTGCCGCCCCACTACTGCCCACATTTGATGACGAGGACTGTGTGGGCGTGGCGGGGGCACTGGCCAACGACTTGTTGAGTTTCAGCTTCATTTTAACAGCCGCCGCAGAGGTGGTGGCGATCTCCTCATCGTCGGAACCGTCATCTCCCCCATCGCCGTCATCCTCGTTGTCCGAGTTATCTGAGCCTCCGCCGCCTCCATTTCCGTGCGCCTCTCCCGTATTTTCACCGGCTGCAACTGCGGCCGCATCTGCTGCCGCGGTTACCCGCTGCCTGGCCCCCACAAATATCTTTTGCAAGGCAATAGAGTCCAGGTAAATGAGCGAGGCCTCCTCGTTGTAGATCTGGGCATTCTGGCACAGCTGCATAAAGTCCTTTTCCAACTCATTGAGATCGGCGTACTTGCAGTCCTCGATGCGCTGCAGAATTTTCTTAATATCCACCGGACGCTTAATGATCTCATAATAGTCGGGTAGCCGTTGGCGCGAGGGCAGCTTCATGAACGGCTCGGACAGGGTGCGTCCATCTTGCGTGTACTTGATCACAGCGCTCATGATCTTGTTCATTTGTTTCTTAGAACGCTTGTCCAGATTCTGGCGTCGGCGTCGCTTCAAGATCAACGAATCGTCATCGGACTCCTCCTTGCGATTCTTTCGCTTGCGTCGCTTGCCCCGCTTTGAATCATCTTCCTCCTCTTCTTCGTCGAATTCGGCGCCATCATCGATGGCCTTCAGCCACTCCTTTTCGGTCAAGCTGTCCGTGTAGTCCACCTCCTTACGCTGTCGGGAGCCGCGACCTACAATAACATTGATAATAAATATTAATCTAATAAAAGCAAAAGCCAAATGAAGGGAATCTTACCCAGAATAGTATCTTCATCGTACTGATAGTGAAAGCGCTCCACCTCGTCGTCGTCCTTGGTCAACCAATCGGGCAGCTCCGACTCGTCAATCAGTCGCTCTCTGCCCGGATGGATCTCCTCGTCTTCCTTCTTGCGCTCTGTGTCCATGCGCTTAAATATCTCGATTTCCTCCTCGCTTCGAGCAATCATCATGTTGATCATCTCGTCGTCGGGCACCTCATTCTCCTCCTCCTCTTCGTTGTCGTCCTGATGCAGGATGGTTTGAAGGAACTGCTGTCGCTCGCTGCCCGTCGACTTCTGATCGAACATACCGGCCTGGATAACCTTCTCGTCCATGTTCAGCTTGTACCTGGCAGCAGCCAAAATGCGCTCCTCCACGGAGTTAACTGTCATCAGCCGAAGAACACGCACTTCGTTGCGCTGTCCGATACGATGCGCACGATCCTGGGCCTGCAGATCCTGATGCGGATTCCAATCGGAGTCAAAGATTACCACAGTATCGGCGGTCTGCAGGTTAAGACCCAAGCCACCGGCGCGTGTAGAGAGCAGAAAGACAAAATAGTCAGAGCCCTTGGCATTAAACTTCCGTAGGAGCTCGCCACGATCCTCGGCCTTGGTGGTGCCATCCAGTCTCAGATATCCAAACTGCCGCCAGCCCAGATAGTCCTCGATAATGGTCATGCACTGCGTCATCTGACAGAAGAGCAGTACGCGATGGTTGGTGGCCTTCAGTTTGGGCAAAATTCGGTCGAGCAGCTCGAATTTACCAGACACGCGGTACAAATCGGGTCCTGCAATGCAAACATAAGATTGAATGAATCTAATCAGTTAAAAATAAAACCAAGGCACGCCTATAGCAGTTAACACAGATCTTAAATAAGCTAAAAAAGTGTTGGCTGCCAATTTATACTCTGCTCAAACCATACAAAACTGATTAATCGAGTGTAACTTACCGGACACCACACCATGGCCACCAGTGTGGTCACAGTACTTTTCCTCAATGTGCTGGAACATGAACGGATGATTGCACAGCTTGCGCAGCTGGACGATGGTGTTCATGAGGGCCTTGGCACCACCCTTGCCATGCTTGCCCTTCTCGGAGCCGTCGGTCAGCAGGACGCCCTTGCTCTGCATGTGCTTGTAGAGCACACGCTGTAGGGCGGACATGTCACACTTGATGATGTACTCGACCTTGTCGGGCAGCTGGTGCTCCACTTCCTTCTTCAGGCGACGCAGCAAGAAGGGACGCAACACCTTGTGCAGACGTCGAATGATAAGGATGGTCTCCTCCTCATTTAGCTCGACCTTCTCGCCGGTGGTGGCGAATGGAGCGTTGAACCACTGCTCGAACGTAGAGCATGACTTGAAGATCGAGGGCAGCAGGAAATTAAGGAGCGCCCACAGCTCGGGCAGCTTGTTTTGTAGCGGTGTGCCCGTTAGCAGCAGCCGATAGGGAGCAATGTAGTGGGTGTTTAGCACCTGGGTGAGCTTGCAGTGGTGATTCTTCATGCGATGGCCCTCGTCGATGATCATGTACTTCCACTGGATCTTGGCCAGCACAGCCTTGTCCTTAATCACGTACTCGTAAGTGGTGAGTAGCACGTTGAACTTGGTGGCTCGCATCTGGTTCTGCAGCAACCGCCTGCCCTGGGGGCTGCCCTTGTAGCTCACCACGCCTACTGCGGGCGCCCATTTCTCGAACTCCAGCACCCAATTGGGCAGCGTGGAGAGGGGGACAATGATCAAGTACGGACCCATCACCTTCTTGCGATCCATCAGGTAGGTGACCAGCGAAATGGTCTGAATCGTCTTGCCCAGACCCATTTCGTCGGCCAAAATGCCGTTCAGATTATTATTGTAGAGCGACACCAGCCACTCCAATCCCTTAAGCTGGTACTCCTTCAGCTGGCCGTTCACCATGATGCTGGCCTGCTCCGTCACCTTCTCGTGAATGGTGTGAGCGATGCTGTAGTAGGTTTGCTCTTCTGTCTTGTACTCATCATCCTCCACCTTGGCCTTGGTAATGACATCGGATGGAATGGCCTCCTCGTCGGTGCCTGTCGGCATCGCTGCCTTGTCGGTAACGTCTTCCGTGGCCATTGGTTGCTCCTCCACCTTGGGCTTATGATCTTCATTGTTGCCGCCGCAGGTGCCATCATCCTCGTCGTCGATCCAATCCCAGCCGGGATGCATGCTTAGCCAACGGTGCAAGTGCTTCAGCATGGGAGCATCGTCGCCGGTAAGCTTCTTGCCGCTGCACTGCTCCACCACATGGACCCGCATATCGGCCATGATGCTGCCCTCGTCGATGCCAACATATTCGCCGCTCATCAGCAGTTCCTTCTTGAACAGCTGCAGCCGCTTGCCCTCCTCCTCCTTCTTCTTCATCTGGTCGTCCTTGTGCTGCTTCACCATCTGAGTGAGGTTGCTGATGTACTCGTCCGTCTGCGATAGCAGGAAGGCCAGGCGCTTGTCCTTTTTCTGATCGATCAGCTTGCGGTAGCCCTCCTCGTCCTCGGCCATTAAGCGACGCATTCGTTCCTTTTCGATGCGCTCCTGCTCCTTCTTCTGTTCGCGCTCCGCGTTCGCATGGTAGTTCATCACCGCCTTGTTCATCCTGGCCAGCTGGGCCTTGTTGTTCCTGTGGAACTCTCTCAGATCCTTGCCGTGCTGGAGCACGGCGGCCAGGAACTCCAGATGCTTCTGCCTGCGCTTCCGCTCCGCCTCTAGTTTCTGTTGCTTCTCCAGCTTTTCCGTGGCACGCGCCTCCCTCAGACCCTGCCGCTTGGTCCTCTTGTAAAACTTGATATTGAGCGCCGTCTCCAATGTGGTGTCCCTTCTCGTACACTGCACAAACTCCATGCGCAGCTGCCGCTGGAAATTCAGGACACGCAGGGCCCGCAACTCAATGGCCGCCTGCAGACGCAGATCCTCGGACATGGTGGCCGGCAGACGCTGCAGCTCCTGCATGCGCAGCGATATCCTGGCAGCTATCCGGTTCTCGCGCTCCTGCAGCAGCGTGATGGGATCCAGGCCCACTGGCTTGGCCACTGTGGTAATTCGATTGGGTTTGGGCATCGGCATGCCAGCGGGCGGCACTTGTCGCGGCGGACCTCCTCCCGGCTGAGGCACCTGACTCCCAGGTGGCATTCCCGGCGGCTGAGCTCCGCGCACTTGGGGCTGCATGGGTGAGGGTGGTATAAGAGGCTGACCTCCTGCGGGCCCCATGCTCAGTGGCTTGCCGCCGTTAGGGAGGTGTTGGTGCTGCAGTTGCTCCGGTGGCGGTTGCTGAACTTGTGGCGGCTGCTGCTGCTGCTGCGGCGGAGGTTGCTGTTGACCGGGCGGCGGACCACCAATCTGAGGAGGTTGTGGCGGCAGGGGCTGGCCCTGCTGCATATGCGGTGGCGGAGGAGCCACCTGCATCTTCTGGCCTCCAGGAACTGGTGGCCCATAGGGATTGCTTGCCGGAGGCGTGGAGCATTGAGGTGGCGTGCCCGCTGACGGCGGTGGTTGCTGTTGCTGCTGCTGCTGAGGCTGCACAGGCGGCTGACCCGCATGTTGTCCACCTGGCGGCGGCGGTCCTCCTGGTGTTCCAGGTGGCCCAATAGGTGGTCCTGGCGGTGGCTGTTGCTGAGCCGCCTGCAGCGCCTGCTGCATCTGCATGGAAATGGGCTTGTTTCTCGCCAGGAGCCGATAGGCAGTGATCTGTGTGCGCAACAGGTTAACCTGGTTGCCATTGAGGTGCTGGTGCTTGGATGTGGCTCGCATAGCCAGCAGCTGGGAGTACCGTGGATCCTCCTGCAGGCCCTTCTCCTCCATAGAATCAATGGCCCGTTGCAGGGCATGCAAATTCTCTTGGCTGGAGCGCTCTGGCGGCGGTGGACCGCCGGGTGGCCCTCCAGGTGACACTATGCAGGGCTGTGTGGCAGCCTGGAAAGAAAAGGAGAACGTAGTGTGAAAATGGGAATGGAAACTAATAAAATGTATCTTTTGTGAGAATTCTTTTAGTTTGGTATAAAGAATAATAGCAGAGATGGATCCCTCACGTCAGCAAAGCGCAGAAATAAAATAAATACCTAATCCTAAAGGCACGATATTTCCTAATTGGTTTTCTGTTTTTTTTATGATATTAATTAGAATACCTTATTCTTTAATTTATTTAAGCAAATTTAGCAAATCCCAAAGAGTAATATTATTTCTAATAAATATTAATATTATGATAAACTTACTGCACCCGCCTCCATTGTTATTAAAAGCAGTCAAGTGCAAACAAATTAAAAAAAGCTCGCAGCAGCCCCGAACAGCAGCAGTTAATGTATGTTAGTCAGTGAACCAAGTTAACAACTGTGCTGGAAAAAACCCGTTCCACTGCCGACAGTACTCTCAGTGATAAATTCACTGGAGACAAAGTCGGAGGAGCCGGAAAAAATAACGCAATAACACATCAGTAAAGATAGCACCGATAAGCGAGATTGAGAGAGCAATGGCAGTCAGCAATTCACAACAAATCGAGGAGCTATATGACTTCATCCATCCGCTGGCAGTAAGAGCGGGAGAGATCCTCCTCGAGGGCTATGAAAATGCCGGCAAGGCTGTCTCACTCAAGTGCGGAGAATTCTACAATGTGGTCACTGCCTATGACAACCAGATCGAGGAGTTTCTCATGGAGAAGATACTGGCTAGCTATCCGGATCACAAGTTTATCGGCGAGGAGGATACCCACAAGAATCACAACAATGTGACCAACGAACTGACAGATGCACCCACGTGGATCATAGATCCCATCGACGGTACCTCGAACTTCATCAAACAGATCCCGCACGTGTCTGTTTCGATTGGTTTGTCCATTAACAAACAAATCGTTCTGGGTGTGGTTAATAATCCTGCCCAGAACAAGCTCTACACGGCTAAACTGGGACAGGGTGCCTTCTGCAATGGAAAGCCGATTCGGGTGAGCAACTGTGAGCATCTCAATGATGCCAATGTTGCGTATGAGGTTTGCCTTCTGCACGCTCCAAAGATTCGCAACAAGCACATCAAGAGAATCTACCATGTGGGATCACAGGCCAGGAGGTTGGTTCAAAATCCCAACTATATTCATTGCATTTCGATAAATCTGCATTTGTTTCAGGCTCCTTGCTTACTCGGCTGTGGTGGATTCACTCTGCATGGTGGCCGCTGGCAACCTAGACGCCTTTCACATCGAGGACATGTATCCTTGGGACTGTGCCGCAGGCTATCTGCTCATCAAGGAGGCCGGCGGCGTGGTCACTCATCCCTATGGTGGTCCCTTTGATATAATGAAGCCGGATCTCATCTGTGCCGGAACAGAGACATTAAGAGCGGAGATAGAGCAACTTATACGGAAGGCTGATCAGCAGGCGCATGTCGGTGCAGAGTAATGAGAACAGCTTACAAAAAGAGAATAATAATAATAAAACCTGAAGATCACCATAAAACTGAGTTTAAACAAGAAAAGATCTAATATGCAAGTCATCATGAAGAGTTAATTAAACATATGATATATACTTTTAAACCCTACTGTAAATTCATATTAGCTTTCTATGTAGCAACCAGATTTTGAGAAAAATAATCGAAAACCCAATTTGATAATGTAAAGTTGAACAGGAGTAAATACTCTGTTTATTATAGAAATCTTTTACTAATTATTATGAGTCAAATTTACACACAATATTCATAGACCTTACAGCATATGGAACACTCAAATCTGTACACTATCATAATCCCAGCGATAAGCGTGCACAGTAGCACTCAAAATAATATAAACTACATTAAAATATGAACTATTTAAAATCTGAACTTATTTGAAACAACATCCAGATATTCTCATAAATAGCTAACTATGTTAACAATTTAAAACTTTACTTTACAAAGTTTTAATTAATTTATAGTTCGAAAAAAACTTTACTTTTTTTACTTTTGATTCTTTTGGTAGATTAAATGGCACTTATGTAAAAACTTGCTTTAATTTTCGATTAGTGCTTTTCTTCTGGCTCCCACTGTGTTAGACCCACACCCACAAAGTCACGGAACAATAACAACCCGTTAAGCAACTCTATAGCCGCTCTCCGAGAGAAGTGCAAAGTTCTAACAGATTTATTGCATGGGAAAAAGCTTTGGAGGAAAGCTCTGCTCTCTGTGTCGCCTCCAATCCACAGCTGATTCCGCCTCTATATAGTTTAGTTGGTCAGTCGAGTGCTTGGCAATCAGCAGAAAGAACAATGAGTTCCACGGTCAGCGAGTCCAAGCTCAAGGAATACTACGATGTGGCCATGAAGCTGGTCCTCAAATGCGGACCCCTCATGCTGGAGGGCTACCACAAGGCCAAGAATGACTACGAGGTGAAGAAGGACTTTTACGACCTGGTCACTGTGTATGACAAGCAAATCGAGGACATTCTCACAGAAGGACTGGTGGCCGCGTTTCCCGACTCCCTGATCATTGGCGAGGAGGAATCGGCGGCATCGAAACGCCAGGCGGAGCTAACGGATGCTCCCACCTGGATCATAGATCCCATCGACGGCACCACCAACTTCATCCATCGCATCCCACACTGTTGCATCTCCGTGGGCTTGGCCGTCAACAAGGAACTGGTGGTGGGCATTATCTACAATCCGCCGGCGAATGAGCTGTTCTCCGCGTACAAGGGACATGGAGCCTACCTAAATGGCCAGCCCATTCAAACCTCCAAGGCGACGACGGTAAGAGAGAGCGAGAAAGCTTATATAAGTAATTTGGGAACGGCATGAAAGTAGCAACAAACAAGATAAACGAAATTCAACAAATAACTGTGAGTGTGTAATTTAGCATGCACTCGGGTTTATAGGTGCACAGAAAAAAAAACAGCAAGAGTTCAACATAGACAGCTTCAATATTGTGAAGAAAAAGATAAAGTCTTGACAGGAGACAGTAAAGATAATACAAATTTCAAAGATAGCAATTTTTAAACAAATATTTAGACAACAAATATGCTTTGCTTTGTCAAAGGAATGGCTCTTTAGGAATACATCTTTTAAAGTAACACTGAGCCAAAAAAAAGTAATATTTCTTGTTATGTGATCTGCAGTTGTAATTAAGTTTTATTCTATTCATTAAAATGAGTTGTTAACGAATAGAAAGAAGTAACAAGAAGTAAGTTTTAAATTTAAGAATTTGTAAGACAAGATATCATTAAAAAAAGAAAGTCAATTTAGATATTCAAGTATTCGCAATATTTTGGTTCTGAGTATTCAATCCATTCCCTAATTTTTCCATTTCTCTGAGAGTCTCATTCATTAGCATTGCCGCAAAATAAAAAAGCTTTTTTTCCACTCTCCCTTTCCAGATCAACCAAGCGGTGATTGCCTATGAAATCTCTCTCATCCATGCTGCTGCAGTAAGGGACAAGAATATCAAGCGCCTGTACAAGTTGGCCTCGAATGCCACGGGCACCCGTTGCTTTGGAAGTGCTGCCCTAACCCTTTGCTATGTGGCCACCGGGCAGTGCGATGTCTACCATGTCGAGGATTTGAAACCCTGGGATATTGCAGCTGGAGCCATTATTCTGACCGAAGCTGGTGGCACTATTTGCCACACCAATGGCTCCAAATTCGATGTGATGAAACCGGATTGCGTGTGCGCCTCAACTCCGGAGTTGGCCAAGAATGTGATTAGCCTTATCGAAGAGGCCAACCAGATTACAGAGTATACGTTCAAGTGAGGATAAAAAACAAACTAACTAGCCAAAGCGTATAGAAGTCAGTATCTAAATTTATCTCTTGTAAATCAGCTGTAAACTACAAGAGATTAAAGTTATGAGTATATTTCTGTAAATAAAAGTAAATAAAGCAAATTAATTCTGCGAATAGCAACTCTCTCCTGCTCTGGAAAAAGCTCTGTGCGAAAAATAAAGCTTTGCCAAAATCATTCCACAGCTGTTCCGCTATAGATCGGTTGATTATCGAGCCATGAGTAATATAATTAGTGAGGAAAAATTGCGGGAATACCACGAGGTATCCGTGGAATTGGTCCGAAAGTGTGGTCCCCTCTTCCTGGAGGGTTTCCAGAAGCCAAAAGCTGACTATGAAGTCAAGTCGGCTTTCTACGATTTGGTCACTGTGTACGACAAGCAAATTGAAGCAACACTTTCCGAGGGTCTGCTCAAGGCCTTTCCAGAATCGCAGATAATCGGCGAAGAAGCTTTGGCCCATGCCAAAATGCAACCCGAACTAACCGATGCCCCACCTGGATCATAGATCCCATCGATGGCACTAATAACTATGTCCGGAGGATTCCCCATTGCTGCATTTCTGTGGGATTGGCTATCAACAAGGAGCTAGTCGTTGGCATTGTCTATAATCCGGCAGCAAACGAGTTGTATTCCGCTTGGCAAGGTCATGGAGCTTTTCTAAATGGCCAACCCATTAGGACGTCATCCGACGTAACAACGGTAAGTGTGGCTGATATTAGTGATGAAATTATTATTAGGTAGCTCTAGGAATATCACGAAACTGATAAGCACTACTTTTGATAAGTCTCAAATACGAAAACACAGGAAAAGCTATCTCTTCAGGGAAGAGAAATTGAACACTTTCCCTTGGGAAACAATTTGACTTTCTTTCAGACATTTCTCGAAATAAACGCTTAAAGTACAACTTATAAGGAAATATTATGAAAAGGCTTATAACATTTCTTTGTTTCAGATAAACCAAGCTGTGGTGGGCTACGAGATCTCCCTAATCGTGGTGGACAAGGCACGCGACAGCAATGTGAAGCGTCTGTACAAGCTGGCCTCGAATGCCACTGGGTGAGTGATCTCCTAAGAAGATCTCTATCAAATCTCTGATTATTCGCATTTAATAAACACACTGTGTTGCTTCGGTATCAGCACTCGCAGCTTTGGATGTGCAGCGCTTACGTTATGCTATATAGCCTCTGGCCGTTGCGATGCCTATCATGTGGAGAATCTAAAACCTTGGGATCTGGCCGGCGGTGCCCTAATTCTCAGAGAAGCCGGTGGATTTGTTTACCATACTAGCGGTGGAAGATTCGACGTGATGAAACCCGATTGCGTGTGCACTTGCTCCGAAGAATTGGCCAAAAATGTGATTCAATTAATAGAGGAAGCTGATGCGATTAAGGGTTATACATTTGAATGATTAAAAAATTTGATATTTATAAGATATATATACAAAGCAACATGAACTAGGCTATTCTTTAGCAACAAAGATCTGAAATCTAAAGACATTTGTGATACATCACGTTAAGTTTCTCTATTAACTTCAAGGTCAGAAAAGTGGCGGTGAGATTCAAAGATATAACTATATGTATTAAATTTTAATAAGATTGCGAGGTTTAGAGCGTTAGTTTATAAAGTGAAGAAACCCTTTCAAAGGTCATCAAATAAAGCCTATTGTAAAATGATTCAAAAGATTGCCAGGGAATGGAAATAACCAAATGATTGAAGGGTTTAAACAATAATATCAAGCTTAAAAGGCCTCTCTTACAATAATGACTTGCAGTCCCCAATATATATAATTTATCCAAAGCTACTTGAGAGCATTGAGAAAAATAAAATGCTGATAAAAACTGGTTTTACGACTATTTGACTGTCTGGGGAGAGATAAAAAGCGTCTCTGTCTATTTGTGTACATCAAACAAATTGAGATAAAGCAACAGAAACAGAGACATGCATGCAGCCAGGCGAGATGCCAATTTTTAGTACATAAAATCTCAAAGAAGCAGGCAAAACAATCAGAGAACGAATGTAACCTAACCAGACCGAAACCAAAGCTCGAGCAGAGCACGAGAGATACTTCCAGCTGGGCGCGAACAATCTCTCTGATTAGTTGGCACTGCGAGCTGAGCAGCAACGCGTCATTTGGAGCCTGGAAGCATATAGAGAACAATCATCATGTCTCAAGCACTGATTGAGGAGCTGTATAGCTTCATTCACCCGCTGGCCGTCCAGGCGGGGAAGATTCTCTTGGAGGGCTATGAGATGGCCAGTAAAAACGTGTCCATCAAAGGCGACTTTTATGACGTGGTCACCGACTACGACAACAAAATCGAGGATTTTCTCATGGAGAAGATACTGGCTACGTATCCGGAGCACAAGTTCATTGGCGAGGAGGCCACGGCAAAGAACAACAACGTATCCGGTGAGCTAACGGATGCGCCCACCTGGATCATAGATCCCATCGATGGCACTTCGAACTTCATCAAGCAGATCCCGCACGTTTGCGTTTCCATTGGTCTGTCCATCAACAAACAGATTGTGCTGGGTGTGATCAATAATCCCGTGCAAAAGAAGCTATTCACTACCAAGCTGGGACAGGGCGCCTTTTGCAATGGCAAGGCTATCCATGTGAGCAGCTGCGACAGCATCAAGAATGCCAATGTGGCCTACGAAGTATCCCTTCTGCACGTCCATTCGGTGGCTAACGACCATATTAAACGGATCTATCACGTGGGATTGAATGCCAGGAGGTAAGTTATTAAATGCTCCACTTTACAAGCGAACATTTTCGATTTAACTAAGATGAGAATACAATTCGAATTGCAATACTTTATCGTTATGAATTCCACAATTAAATTCAATTGTTGAATACAAATCAATTAATCAGACAAAGCTCTCGCCACACATACAAAATAAAGATCCATTTTAATTGGAAGTGTGAATATATAGCGAACAGCTGATGAACATTTCTGAGTGACTTCAAGTAATTTCTTATCAAATCATTATGTACATATCTGTGATGAAATGTTTAAAATGCAAAGCTGTGAATTTATAATGACAAATATTCTTATTTCCAGACTATTGGCCTATTCCTGTGTGGTCGATGAGCTGTGCATGGTGGCCGCTGGCAATTTGGATGCCTTCTACATCGAGGATATGTATCCCTGGGACTGTGCTGCCGGCTCCCTGCTCGTTAAGGAGGCAGGCGGCGTGGTCTCGGCTCCCTTTGGTGGACCCTTTGACATAATGAAGCCAGATCTGATCTGTGCCGGAACAGAGAAGTTGCGCAAAGAGATCGAGGAGCTGTTGCGCAAAGCAGCTCGGGAGGATTCGGTGGGGGGCAAGCCAGTGTCCAAGTAAATTAAGCATGAGACACACACTTAAAACCGTTTGCGAAAAAATGAGATCTAAATTAAAAGCTTGAACCCAGCTGCACAGTCGTTTGGCAATAGTGAAGAGCTTTCCCATTCAGAGCTTTTTATGATCTTCCAGCATTGATTGCCGGCAGATAAAAAAGTGGCGGGAAAGCAATTAAACACAACTGCTCTCGATTTAGACTTTGGAAAAACATTTAGAAAAACTATACTTTAAGCCACAAGCGCTGCCTAATAAATCGTTAATAAATACTTATACATTCCCAGCAAGGGAATTGACAACATGCATTTTAAATGACTAAATGCACAAGAAAATATTTCTAGGCATTTGTTGCTAGGTACATGTTGAGCAACACCCAAACATGTTATTGGCAACATCTAGATCGGACCATCTACTTTATTGTTTAATAACTCCCATGCTTATTATGGGAACTGTAGTGAAATTTGGTAAAAGAGCGAAATTATTAAATGTCTATTAGTCTCCTACATTTGGTAGCTCTAGCTCTAAGTGTCTCTGAGTTCTGATGTCCCTTACAATACGCCTGATCGGTAGCACTATCCATGCGATCAAAGGGGTGTCATATAGACCATTATAATTGTTTTGGGACATATTCTAAACATAAACAGCAGATGGATTTTACCATCTTCTTAAAGCGGACCAAGGCGATAAAGATCCCCCACATCTCCTGTTTACTTACATTGGGCGGCATTCCGTGCGTTTGGTAACCAATTGATGACATATTCGGTGGTCCCGTCGGCGGCATCTGCATTCCCATGTGCGGACCTTTTGAGAAAACTACGGATGATTACGTGAGGATAAGGGGGCCGTAGAGGCGGTATCAAACACATACTCAAACCCTGGTGATGAGGGGGCATATGGTGGCCAGGCGGTGGGCCCTGTCCAGGTGGCCCATGTTGCATTGGATGGCCGTAGGCTCCGGGATGGCCGGGTGGCGGGGGTCCTTGCATGTGTGGCGGGGCGCCGGGCGGTGGTCCTTGCGGCGGTCCGGGCTGTTGGTGCTGTGGATACGGGCTGTGCGGCGAGGGGGCGGGACTCTGGGATGGCGGGGCCATCGGACTGGGCGCCTGTGGCGGTGGCATGGGACTGTTCGCCGGGGAGGGCGAGGCCATTATTGCTTCTTATCCAAGGGCTCCTGCGTACGTTAATCAGCGACCAACTGGGCCAGCGTTGTCTGTAAACAAAAACGATGTCAGCGCTTGATATTTATCAACAATATAGAATCTGCAGCCACGATATGTAATCGCAGCCCTGTTCGTTTTACGCGTTTACGGCACACTTTTTTGCGCAGTCCGGTGCAAACACCAAAATAAACACTAAAAACGATGCCCAGAAGTCAAAGTTCACATTCTACGTATCGCGCACGCTGGAAACAACCGAATTTATTTATTTTTGTGCAAAAGTTTTACCTATTAGCACTGTTTGAAGAGGTTTTTCCACACTTTTTCCGAGCGACGCGACAGCAAAACTCTAATGGCGGACGTCTCTATAACAAAAGTCACGCAAGGGTGACAACCCTGCCAACCGGCAATAAAAATGGGAGCGTTCAGCTCAGGTCACAGTAAATATTTTTATTACTTGACAAAATTAATCACATTCAATAATACACATTTTGTGATAATTATAATTTTTTAAGTAATCTGTTTATGTTACTTAATATTTTCTAAAAGGTGAAAAATTTGTCTGCTGAACGTACGCTCTGACACGTCATGTTCACGCGGCCTGTGAATGGCAAATCCGAAACCATTCCCTGTACAAAAAAAGTGAAAACAAGATTGTTTCGTTTTTGTATTAATTGTAGTCGCAAATACAATTAATTAGGTTAAACTCAGGCATTTAGAGGCAGCGCCAACAGACAGACAACGTTCAGCCGGAATCATGGGTAAGCGATGCCGTGGAATCGGAAAACGGCGAGACCCGGGGTCCGATGACACCCGCCGGTGACGATGTCTGGTCATAAAAATCGTACGTTCCCCCTCTTGTTGTTGTTTTTGCTGCAGGTGGGGTGCTCAGCTACTTTCGCGGATTGCTCGGCTCCCGGGAGATGCGCATCTTGATCCTGGGCCTGGACGGTGCCGGCAAGACCACAATCCTCTATAGACTGCAGGTGGGCGAGGTGGTCACCACGATACCCACCATTGGCTTCAACGTGGAGCAGGTTACATACAAGAACCTCAAGTTTCAGGTGTGGGACCTGGGCGGACAGACAAGTATTAGGTGAGTGCTGGCAGGAGATAAGGGATACGGAAATGTAATCTACATCCTGTTATCTGCGGCCATCTGGTAGCATTCTTAGTTCCTTATTTATTTAATTACTATAACATAACTTTACAGACCCTACTGGCGTTGCTACTATAGCAACACAGACGCCATCATATACGTGGTGGACTCTGCGGATAGAGACCGTATCGGCATCTCCAAGGATGAACTGCTCTATATGCTGCGCGAGGAGGAACTGGCTGGGGCGATACTTGTTGTGTTGGCCAACAAGCAGGACATGGACGGCTGCATGACCGTCGCTGAAGTGCATCATGCGTTAGGCCTGGAAAACCTTAAAAATCGCACATTTCAGATATTCAAAACGTCGGCCACCAAGGGCGAGGGACTCGACCAAGCCATGGACTGGCTCTCCAACACCCTGCAGAGTCGCAAATAATCCCTTAGCCAGTCCCCAGCCCCACCACAGTACCCATCCCCTGTGTAAAAATGAGTGTGTGTCCAAAGCGTCGCCAGCAACTAGGAAACATCTTCTACAGCTTTTTTCAAATTGCATAAATTGCGCAAAAAAAACATCCACAAACCGAAAAAGAAAACTTTGTAATAACTTCTAGTAATATAATTATTAAATTATAGGATTAAACAATTCAGTAAATCCATGCATTCAATCACCACTCGGCCAGGCCGAATCGCTGCACTCGCTTCTCCTGCGCGTCCAGATCCATGCGAACCTTTTGCCGCATATAGAAAATGGGGCAATCTCGATTTGAGCAGATAACCTCCTCATGCAGGGACTCCTGGCAGCGCTGACATTCTGTCCAGAGGCGAGAGAAGGTCTCTTCCAGCTCCCGCTTAGCGCCCACCTCCTTTTGGTAAAGCTCGCTCATCCGGGGTTCGCAGTGCGGACACAGACAGGCCTGCTCGTAGCCCTTGGGCATCAGGGACTTGCAGCCCAGACAGGAGGTTTTCTTGGTCATAAAGCCGGCCAGTCCGCCCACCTTGGAGGTGACCACAGTACGGGTCCGCGTGTGCTCTCCCTTAAGCAATATAGACTCTGCCTTCTCTCCCAAAATTGGTTCAAAAATCCTCAACAGCGGCTTGGCCAGCTGCTGTTCCAGATAGTATGTGGCATCAATGGGCACACTATTCTCCAGCACGTACAGGGGATCTTCTGCCTTGGCGTAGGCCGGAGTATTCTTGGCTGCCGCACAGATAACGTAGGGAACGCGATCGCCGAGTTTGGGCGCTGTGCCCGGATCCCGTTTCTTCATCTTAGCGGCTAGTTCCACATGCGCCTGCTTGGCAGCATAATCTGTCTTGGCCAACTCCTTGGTGATGACCAGATGGGAGATATCAATACGGTTGCAGAGGAGATCGGCTATCACCTGCTTGGCATAGGCCACGGCGCCATCGGGATCTCTTTCGATGAGCAGTTTTTGCAGGCAGGAGTTCATCAGGTTGGCCACCAGCGGCGAATTGTCCCGCCTCACAGTTTCGATGCCCTTGCAGTCCATTTTGTCGTAGGTCTCCGGCCGGGTGAAGTACAAGCCAGCGTAGCGTTTCTTGTTGATCAGAAGATAGGGATAGTAGACCTTCTCGAATTCCAGCTTGATGGGGTGCACGAACTTGGAGCTCACCAGCTCCGCTGCCTCTCTGCCCAGCTCCATACTGCGTTCCAAGGTCTTAACTCCAAAGTTAACCATCACAGAGTCCGTGTCGCCGTAGATGACCACCGCGTTGTTTTCGTAGCCATTGGCCTGGGTGTAGTGCGTCTCCACCTCGTTTTTGGTCATTTCTATCATGGTGCGCCCATAGGCAGTTACGCTGCCGGAGATCTCCAGGCAAGGCAGTTTGCCTACCTGGGCCCCGGTGAAGCCGTAAACGGAATTGGCCGAGATCTTCAGGGCCAGTTGCCTGCCATCCAGAACCTTCCTTTTGAACGGATCCGTTTCCACCTTTAGGTCGTTTTTGGCGCGCTTTCTTGCGGCCAGAAGGGACTCCAGAATCTCAGGCAGCAGTCCTCGACGCACTTCAGATTTCACAAAGTAATTGTTGGCCGGCGTGCACTCCACCTGATCGTCCTGTAGGTCCTCCTGCTGCCTTAACTTCTCCCGGGTTCCACCCAGGACCAATGTGGTATAGCAAAGATTGTGGGCCATCATGATACTCGGGTATAGAGAGGCGAAATCCAACGTGGAAATGGGATCTGCATAGTAGCCCCTTTTCGGTTCAATTACAGTGGCTCCCTCGTACTGCTCATCCGATCCCTGCGATGTGTACGAGGGCATAATAAAGCCCTTTGTCTTGGCCTTGCGCAACAACTGACTGAGGACCTTGATCTGCTGGCCACGGGTGAGTAGCGACTCCAGCGGCACACCCGTCACCCTGGCCATTTCCATGTAGTTCACAATGGCCATCAGCTTCTCGAGCAGCCTCAGCGGCAAGTATGCATCCTTCAGGCAGTACATGGCCAAGCGGCGGCGCGTCTGCTCGTCTCCGTTCTGCAGATCCGTGATGATGCTGTGGTGCACGTCCTCTTTCTGCTCCTGCAGGAAGTGGTAGCTCACCGCGTTGAGGGTGTACGAGCGGAGTTTGTAGTCGCGCAGCAGGACAAACAGGAGATCGAATGGAACGCGGCCCTCAAAGTTCACGTACTGGTTCTCACGGCGACCCATTTGCTTGGACTGCAGCACCTGCTCCTTGATAACCGACCGAATGTTCTTGATCCTGCCTAAATACTCGAAGTTCTTCACCTTCAGGTGCGCCGCCCGATTGATCAGGTAGGGAATGTCGAAGTTGTTTATATTGTAGCCCGTGAGAATGTCCGGATCCACCTCCCGCACGAAAGCCGACCACTTGTCCAGCAGCTGGGTCTCCTTGTCGTGGCACAGCACCTGGCTGCCAATAATGGGCGCACACTCGTTAAGTGTGAACACATTCCTGATGAAGGGCTCACGCTCGCCCTGCCGGATCACCATGTTGGCAATCTGAATGACGGGATCCATTTTGGCCTCCGGAAATATGCCTTTGCGACCGGCGCACTCGATATCAAAGGAGAGGATGCGGAAGGGCGCAACCTTGGACCACTCGCCCTCGGGCTCGTGAGAGATGAACCGGTCAAAAGCCACATCCACCTCGATCTGGCAGCGGGACTCCGGCAGTGGCTTGCTGTGGCCGCTCCTCATTCGCCAGTGTCCCATGGGCAGCTCTATCCAGTTGCAGCCCACCACACCCGTGTCTACCATGAAGCGGATGTCGAAATCGATGTTGTTCTCGAAAGCACGACAGTCCTGGAAGTCAATTTCCGCCATTATCACCTCCTTCTTGAGCAGACGCGATGCGGCGGCGACGAAACGTGGCAGTGTCACTGAGATTTTGATGTATTTCTGCTTCTTGTCTCCATTGTAGCCATGTATATTCAACTTCTCTACCAGCTCGACCATGAGGACTGCCTCCTGGACATTATCCTTGTTGTTGCGTATATCGGCTATAACCTTCTGATCCAGCGCTTTGTGAAACTTTTCGCAGTGACGCTCTTCGAACTGCTTGGGCGCCTCTATGTAGAAGTAAGGGCAGAATCCGTGCACATGGCAGCACACCGAGTTACCCTCCATGGTGACGCCGAACATACGGACCACGGGCACGGGTCCCAGTTGCGCTCCCGGCATCCCTGGCAACGGCTGCCCCAGATAGTTCTCCACATCGAGCTGTTGGAACTGCAGGTTGTCCCGGGCTGGATCTAGTTTTGGCGGCGCCGGTCGGGACCAACGTTCGCTTGTCTGCTGGTTCTCGGGTCCGTCGCCCACCAACAAAGTCTGGTCCAGCTCCTCCGAGTTCTCAAAGGCGGCCAGCTCTGCCTCGAAGTCCATTTCCTCGTCTTCATCGGGGTTCCTGCAGTGCAAAAGCTTAAATTGCGTTTCTGTCCCATTTACCCAATGCCCACCTGAATTTCTTGGCCTGACCATTGGAGCCGCCATTAAACTTGCGCTTGGCGTCCATAGTTAAAGGCTGTTTTTAATTGTAACAGTAAATAAAAATTAAATGTGAGAATGCTAAAAATAAGGCGCGAAATAGAGCTGGAAGAAAACATCGATGGAGTATCGATAATGCCGTTATCGATGCATCTTTTGGATTTTTTATATTCTCCCGGTCCTGAAACCAATCTTTTTTTTCTCCCATAGATTTATAATAGAATATTCAGTTTCAAGCCAGAATTTAGAATGTTTCAGCTCTGAATTGTGGCTAGAATAGCAGAGCGGTTTCCGATAACAACTCCCACCCGCATTAGTGTTGGAAAATACGCAACCACCAGCTGCTGCTCGCTCAACACGAAATTTACCTCAGCTGGCAGTTCCAGCACACTTGAACCGAGTTGGCAGCTCGCTCAGCTTGTACCACCAAAAAATTGGTTTTAGTGTCCTCCAAAATTCGCACGTAAAACGCATTAAACTGATAACACAACAACCGCGCAGATACACCACACCCGCTCCTGCCGAAAAAAAGTGGAACAGGAAAAAAAAAGGAAGCCAGCAGAGTCGCAGCCGAAGGGGGAGTGGGAAAATGATAAACCTGTGAATCGCCTGACCAGTGCCTGGTGGGGGTGTCTCTCCCGCTCACCGTTCTCCGCTCTCCACTCACCTCTCTCTCTCCGCTCACCCCACCCCTCTCACTCTTTCACTGGAAGGAGGGGGATGGATGGTTGATGTTACGAGCGCAGCGCCGCAGTGAATCACATTCGGAAGAGCGTTACCAGAAGCCAGCGCAATGTACCAGAGCGCCTGTCAAGCGGCCACCACGGGCTCCTGTGTCCCAGGAGCTAGCCAGCAGCCGGATAACGAGCGGCAGTCGGCGCTGATCGCCCAACAGCCCCCCACAGCGCCTGTGGAGCCCGATTATAGTGGCTTCGACATTGTTAAGGCCACACAGTATGGCGCCATTGCCCGTGTCCGCGAGCTGGTCGAGTCCGGGTGGGATGTCAATCAGCCGGATAGTGAAACGGTCACGCTTCTCCACTGGGCGGCGATTAATAATCGCCGGGACATTATCCGGTACTTCCTGGAGAAGGGCGCCACTGTCGACGCCGTTGGCGGTGAGCTGAATGCCACTCCACTGCACTGGGCCACCCGGCAGGGGCATCTGGGCGCTGTCGTCCTGCTGATGGCTGCCGGAGCCGATCCGAGGATCAGGGATGCCGAAGGCTGCTCCTGCATACACATCGCCGCTCAGTTTGCGCACACCGCGCTGGTGGCCTACTTTATAGCGAAGGGCGTGGATCCGGATCTGCAGGACCGCGGTGGAATGACTGCTCTTATGTGGGCGGCATGGAAGGTGGGTTATAGCTTATCAGCAACCCTACAAATATAAGATTACTAAACTTATCTCTGACCACTTCAGGTATGTGCTCTGGATCCTGTGCGCTTGCTGTTAACTCTCGGAGCAAATCCCGCCATGGTTGATTATACGCATGGAAACACGGCCCTGCATTGGGCTATCTTGGCTAGGAATGCCACGGCCATTTCCACACTGGTGCTCAAGTCAAAGGCCTCGCTGGATGTGCCCAATCTGCGAGGCGAAACGCCTCTCTCCATGCTGGAGTCCCAAACGGGGGCGATTTGGATAGGAGCCAAGGTCATGGATCGAGTGAAAGAGGCGGCGCTGACCTCGCTACAGCGGCGCTCGCTAGTATCAAAGCTGCGCCATGACAAACGCCTGAGATGGTGGTCGATGGTGGCCTGCCCCTTTACCGCCTTCTATTTAGCGGGGATCGTTTTCACCGTGAACACACTGTACATCATCAAGTTTTTCCTGCTTGGCGTTCTATACGCCATATTCCATTCGATTGGCAAGGCCCTCTTCGATGAGCACCTGATGGCCCTGCTCCCGTTGAGCGTTTATCTAGCTACCAAGGCCTGGTTCTATGTCACCTGGCTGATGTACATCAATGATGCAGTCTCGTTTACGGCCACTGTTCTCTTCCTGATCTCCTCGCTGGCTCTGTGGGTGTGCTTTCTCAAGTCGTGGAAGGGAGATCCGGGCATCATCCGACCCACCAGGGAGCAGCGCTTCAAGGTGAGCATTCCCAAGGGTCTCGCAATTGTAAGTTACTAATATTATTCCTGCTTTTCCTTTAGACCATCATTGAGTTGTCTGAAAGGGGTGGTATTGGTTTTGAGCCTGCTTCCTTCTGCTCCGGCTGCCTGGTGCGCCGGCCCATTCGCTCAAAGCATTGTTCCGTGTGCGATCGTTGTGTTGCGAGGTTCGACCACCACTGCCCCTGGGTGGGCAATTGCATCGGCCTGAAGAATCACAGCTACTTCATGGGCTTCCTCTGGATGCTGTTGATCATGTGCGCCTGGATGCTGTACGGTGGCTCCAAGTACTATGTAAATCAGTGCAATGTGGGATTCGATGGTGAGTTTATTGCGAGAATTTTTACGGTGAAATTTCATGTAATTATGAATTATTACAGATTTCCTCGGTGCAATGCGGGCCATTGGCAACTGTGACGCATGGGTAGGTTGGGTAATGGGCAACGCCCTTTTGCACATGTCCTGGGTGATCCTGCTGACCATCTGTCAGACCTATCAAGTGATTTGCTTGGGCATGACCACCAACGAGCGCATGAATCGTGGACGATATCGTCACTTCCAGGCCAAAGGAGGCCACAGCCCGTTCACGCGAGGTCCCTTCCAGAACCTAGTGGACTTTCTCGAGTGCAGTTGCTTCGGATTGGTACAGCCCCGGCGGGTGGACTGGATGAACTACTACGACTACGATGCCCAGACGCATCAAACCATCGAGAAGGAGCCGCTGCTGAGCGTGGACTGCCCAGACGGAATGGGTGGCGGAGATCATCAGTATGTGTAGGATAAGTCTTATCGGGATGCGAAGACGCTTCAGATGCCCATCGCGCATGTTTAACAACAAGGACAGCCGCTTTAGCTTCTTCCCAAGCCCCTTCCTCGTTTTATTTCCCCGCTGATCTGCTGCTTAAGAGTTACATATTCGCAAAAGGTGGATTATACCCACACAACCAAGACAGAAGCGTCATTGCTGACCGATATCGGATATGGGACGGATAGTTGGGCAGTCACAGGAGTGACGGCTGCCCGTCACATACATACGTACATACTTACAATGCATGTATTACTTGTAATTACTCTGTACATTTCTGCGTATTTCTTACACTTAACTCGATCAATTTGATCATAAGCCGAAAGTACACACAAAACCCGTTTTCCGGAACCATTTTTGTCCCTTTAAAAAGTATTTGTATACCAAAAAACATAGGCATATACATAAATGCAAAAAACGTAAGCAAATGAACACCGATCAAATTTACTAATGCAACCGAAATAATCAAAACGAGAGGAGAGCTCGTTGTAAGCGTGCAATATATATTCAAGACTCCCATATTATTCACCCTCTGAGATAATATTAACAAATTGTAAAGCGCACACAAATAAGTGGTCGAAGATTGTCCTAAGCAGTGAGCGAGCATTAAATATTAGAGTAAGAAAATATCAAGTATTAGTGAAGTCTATGGATGTTGTAGCCTTCGCTTACGTACTTCTAGACGCTAACTGCTCTACTCTCTCTAGGATCGACAAGAAGGATTTACATCAGGAACAAGAACACACTAGAAAGGCTCTCCTTAAAGAAAAAACAAATTAAACAATTGATCCCAAGCACTAGCAATACTTAAACCAAAGATCTTGTAATAACAAAATGCATAACGCCTAAACATTTGAATATTGCTAGCTAAAATCTGAGACCGTACCAAACATAATATAAATATTTGTGGGAACAGATCTAAAACAACATTGTTGATACTGTCTCTAAAGTGCTAACTATTCAGGCGGAAAAAAATATCGTATGGTGTTGCTCATCTTGTTATTATACGGTCATTGCTTACACAAATAATTAATGAATTCTAAAAGCGATCCAATTCTAATTAATGCACTAGTCTAGTCAGAAATCATTTAAGTAAGGAAATGTTAAAGTGCAACTACAGCCACAAAGCAAACTCGATAAATAAATTGCATATTTACATATAAATACATACATATAGCTATGAAATGGTATATTTATAATGTAAAGGAATTTTCAGCAACCTGAACGATAGCAAGGAGAAACGAAGAAATGTTTGTAATTGAAAACACGTTACTTAAATGCATTTACAAATAATTAAATTCAAACGAAATCTACAAAACCAATCTTAATATTGAAGAATCGCTAAGCAACCACACTTTCAACTACTGATATATAACGAAATATTGATAAACCCACACCCGAACACCACTTTTTCGATGTATTTTGTATTTGAGATTATACAAACTTGATACTGAGGCGAGGCTAACAAGATTTGCTAAGAAAGTTATATATAGTTGTTTCAAATCCATTTTGTATATTCCTTTCGCGCGCAAAAAAAAGCTTTCAAAAGACTAATCAGAACAAGAAGAACGAGATCTAAACAAGCGAGCATGTTCAATACAATATATAATAATTAATTAATTAAGTGTTTTTTGGCCTATTTAACAATGATGAAAACAAAGCAAAAATCAACCCCATTGCCTACATCTTTAGTTTAGCGGCTAAGTTCAAGACAAATATATATATATTTAACTAAAGATATATAATAATGAATGTATTAAATAGTGTGTAGAAAAACGATGGAAATTGTGAGCTCGACAAAAGGGTGTCTGTCTGTATGTATGTGTAACAATGTGCGTTAAAACAACAAATTTGAATAATAAATAGAACACTTTATTCCGTATTCAAAAATGCGATGGATAATGAGTTTTAATCTAATCAATAAATGTCAGAGCTCGACACAGCTCTGCAATATCTTAGTCCTTTATGCTTTACCTGTCATGCACAAGCAAAGCGAAAAGTTTTTTATGAGAGGGGCTTAAACCGAATTTATATTAGGGATTAAGCCGATTGTACGAAAATAATTCATGTGTGAACGAAAAATATAAATAAAACTCGATCTCAATTGGGTTTTAATTTTTGTTTTTTATTGTTGTTTGATGACATAATATTTATTGTAGATTTTAAATTTCATTTTTTGTGGGTTTTTAATCCTTGTTTTTTTCTTTTTATTTTTGTTGATGCATTACACTTATAGGCTTTCACTTTAAAAATAGAATTTGCTTCCCTTTAATGATAAATTAAGTTGAATGGTTGTTCTCCTATTAAAAGTAAAACCGTTAAATATCTATGCAGTTAATATGCATTTAACATTTCTTTTTGTGATTTAAGCTGCAATTTTCCAGTTTTTTTTTAGCTTTAGACCTTAGCAGCAGGTGTAAATGATATACAATACATATATTATTATTTTAGCTTTATGTATTAATTTACTTGCTCGATTTGCAAAAAAAATAATGAGAATATCGCGCGCGTTTGCAACGTGCCAATTGTTTCCTTCCAATTTTAATGTTTTAAGTGTGGGCAAAATAGAAAAAAGAAACACAAAAGCTTAGGCACTAAACAAAGACGATTTGTTGTGGTAAAAGTTAGTTGAGAAAGTACAAGACATTACACATACATATATATATATAGTATAGAGTAAAATAGTAAACGATTGAAAAAAGATCCGTCCTGGACTGGTCTCTGTGTGTGTGTTCTCGGATAGCAATATAGCGTCTTTTGTCTATGTGTATATATAATATATATTCATCAGGTGGGATTTCGGCGTGGCCAGCTTGAGCTCTCAATATATATACGATATATATGTAAATATATATGATTGATATTTGGTCGGAGTTGAAAGAAGCTTTAGGTGTTTGGTTTCATTCACATTTCACAGAATACAGACGCGACCGAAAAAGGGGAAGTACAAGTTTGAAGATAGATTAAAAAAGGTTAAAACATAGGCGTGTATATATATTGCAATGCGTTTCATAAGCGCACTTGATAAGAAAGGGGTAAATTAACATAAATTGGTTAAAATATATATATATATATAGATGTATAATTTTCCATTTAAGTCTAGAGTAAAATGTTGCAACTGCTGCGCTCGAGCAACGGCACAAAGGCAGGAATTTTCGGTGACACACAGATTAGAATATCTTAATACCAGATTGGATTTGATCGAAAATTTGTGACTTTGTGCCGGGAGAAGCGCAGCTTCATTCATTATACATACATATATAAACTACAACTACGGACGCGCCGCAGACTTTTTATTTCTTTGTTTTTAGATGCTTTACACACTTGCTTTCAACTAAAACTTACTTAAACCGCGCGGCTCCGACCTTACTCGCGTTTGATAGACATTTTCAGGAAACCAGAATGTGCGAAGCAAAGACCGTATGATAACAAGATGGGTAACGCCTTACGCTCGAAATGTTCGTGCTGGTTTAAGGATCTCTTGACGGTTCTTCAAAAGTCAGAGAGGTAGCGTGCTATAGAGCCTGTATGGCCTTATGCATCTTGTTATTATAAGGTCTTTGGATGAATAAGCCATATATTACCGCAATAAACCCAACTTTGACAGTGCCAGCAGCGATCAAGCGCGAGCAGGCGAGTGGGCAAAACCCGCGCATTAACTTAATTTATCAATAAATATACGAAATATTATACATGTGCCTTAGGTCTCTATATATATAAACATGTGTAGACACATGCCTTAAATATATATATATATATATGTATATATCCATGTATTGTGTATATATAAATTTCTTTTAGTACACATATTATATATATATATATTTTGTTTTAGGTTTTCTTTTTGTTTTCTTTTAAATTTTTGCTGTTTTTAATAAAAAATATATATATAAATATAGCTATTTTTTGAATTTGATTTTATCTCTCTGCTCATATGTATATAGTTATCATTTTTTGTTTTTATGCATTTAAATCTTTTGCTTGCTCAGTTGATTCATCTTTTTTGTTTCATTAAATACACGCTTACACAATTATGTATGATTATTGGGTATACATAGGAGGCTTATGTATATGGGTTTATTACATATGTATATACCCCCTAGATAGGGGTATACCGCAATAAGCATTTAGCAGTTGTTTATAAAAACACACATAATAAAAAAATAATAATTATAATTGGTAGAGCAAAAAAACAAAGAATAAATAACAAATTGATGTGCCGTGTAAATAGGGTTCCATAAAAGTTATGTATATCATAATATAAAACTTATGCTTAGCCTATGTGGGGTGTCGAGCGGGGGGATTATATGTAGTACATAGCAAATGGTAGTTGGTTTCAACTCGGGTTAATGAGTGTGAAGAGCATGGGGGTTTGGGTTTAGGTTTTAGGTTTGTTTTGCTTGCTTAGTCGGCTTGCTTGGTCTTGTAATATGTATACATATTTATCATATATTTATAAACATTAGTTCCCACTGATGTTACGTCTTTTGCAGCAGCTCGCTTTGTGGGCTGGGCGGACTGGGCAGCTGCTGCTGCTGCTGCTGCTGGTTCAACATGGTCGGGGCAGACAGCGTGGTTGCCTGGGTAATAACTGTCGTGGCAGAGATGGTCTGTTGCTGCTGCTGCTGCTGGTTCGGCGCCTGCTGCAGCTCCTGGGGGTGCTGATTGGTCTGATGATTGTTCAGCGGCTGGTTCGAATTGCAGAGCACCGAGTAGACGGAATCCACTTTGCTGAGCTTCTCAAACAGCGGTATCAGTTCGCGTAGTTCGCAGTCAGTGACGTCGTCGAACCAGGATTTAACAGGAACCTTTACAATACGCAAACAAAAATCATAAATAGGCAAGCTTAATTTCGTAATAATAATAATACTTACTGCATTGTCTGGATGAAAGATATAACTGGCCGGTGAATTGTCCACAATAACAATCTTTTGCAGATCACGACCCAGACGATTCAGATCCTTAATGTAATTACCCCTGTAATAAACGCATGATTCCCTAAACAGTCTTGCACGAAACACGTTCCATCTGAAATGAAATGATCAAAATGATTAGGTTCATAAAATATAATTCATGTTTAGCTTAACAACGTATTTAAATGTATTTGGTAGCTCTAGCTCTTGTAGTCAAAAGAAGGGGCATAGCTAAATCAATTTGCCTGATGGGGCTGATTAAGTTTATATACAAATTATGGAGTTATTTTCAGAATAAGAATTGGATTCAGATGAAGCTCGGGATCTGTGTTCTTATTTAACTATCCAATTATCTTTTAAAGTATTTAACACTCACTTGTCTAACAGATCGGCAACAGGATCTGCGTATTTGGCTAGTGATGCTGTGAACAAAACGCACTCGTACAGTTCACCCATCTTTTGCAGAAACTCGTCCACATGCGGTCGCTTCAGAACATACACCTGATGTACGGTTCCATCGATCTCCACTGGTACTATGAAATCTGCATTCGGTATGGGCTACAATATACAAATTATTAATTATGTTCTACATGTAGATAGAATCAAAGATCCACTCACCTTAAAACTGCTGTGCACTAGGGTCTCATCCAAATCGATAACCATGCACTTTCTGTGCATATCGGTGAGCCTAACCTGAGGTAGTAGGAACCTTTGTTGGTCCGGTAACGGTGGCGGTGTTGTTGAACCATCGATTTGTGTGCCATTCTGGTTGGTTTTCGTTCGGTTTCGTCGCCAGCAGCAGAGCAAAGATTGGATAAATCCACGCTTCTGTGGCTTTAAGCGGTCTACATCATCTGAAAATATAAGAGATCCATTTTTGTTACTCATTTGTACAAGAAATGGTATATCAACAGGTATCCTAATGTTACAAATTAGTTGAAAATGTTTAAATTTTGTAAGGCAGAAGAGATTTTGACTAAAGGTACGTAATATTTTGTTGATTTTTGATTTTTTTTTATATTCTTAAACATGTAAATATAAACGATAAACTAAATACTTGATAATACATAAATTTTTATATGTTTAATAACACCATAAATCTTAATAAGGGTTTAGAATGCATCACTCAAGAGCTCAATTAAATTCTCAGGGATAAACTTCATATATTTTAATAGAAATTCCAAACATTTCTTGTGATGGCTCCTTCATTAATTTTAACAAAATTCTGGCTGCCTCATAAAAACTTCTCCCGCAATATTTAAGACCCCTCAATATATATGGACGCCCACCACAATGTTTTCCTCCATGCGCGTCTATACATAGTATATATTTTCATTCCATTTTCGAGCGCCTTGCTCAGATTACTATTTACAGTTGGCGCACCATAATGACATAAACATTGTCTGTTTTGTTTGCTACACATTTGCATAAAACAAATATAGATATATTCCAATTTCTATATCTGGTTAATACTGCAGTACATGCAATGCAGAAGACAATTTGTTTTAGTTGCTCGTGTGGCGGCCGCCAGCCAGCGTGTTTTGGGTTTGTGTTGATATTTCTGTTTTTGTTTTTCAGTGCGAATATGTTTAAAAATAGAAGTCAAAGGCAAAACTAGAAGGCGGCAACAACGGCACAGGGGCAGCACGGTAGAAACATGCGTTTAATCGATGGGAAATGCTATAATTGCATGCAAACACAAACAAAGTCGCAGGTAGAGCGAGCGATCCAAGCTACAGTATTACTTCCATAATATAAAACATTAATTATTCATTTTAATGGTATATATTTTAAATGTTTATATATTTTTGATAAGTTTGGATTTTATTGCTGTGTATTAATATTGTCTTCTGCTACTATAGTTGTAAGTTTAACAATTGTGTAGGTTAAATATAAATATATATGAGAGGTTTACTAAACAAAAGATTTTATGACCTTTTTAATTTAAAAACTTTTCAATCTCCTTATGAAAATTACAAGTAAATGTCTGTGACATTCTCAATTCAATGGGCACTATTTAATCATATTCCGTATTGTATTAATTTTTCACAACCGAAATGAATTATAATTTAATGATCAACAACAACTATAGAAAAAACCAGCATTACGTTCAAGTTAGTGAAGTTAAACTGTGGCACATAGAGTGCCAGTTAGCGAGGTAGTTAGTTGGATAAATAGATAGATAGATAGGTGCATAGAAGGTCACAGGTTGACCTTTAAGCTGACTTGAGGTGCGGCCACCTTGGCTATTACGGATAGGAGTGCATATGGGCCAAAGGATGGAAGGATGGCGAAAATGCGTCCGTCCGCCATTTGCATTGTGTGGCAACAAAGGGAAACAGCAGTCAAACATCACTTAGCTGGGAAAACAAGCTTCAAGTGGGCGAATGTGGGCGGCGGAGTGGGGCGGAGTGCTGCAGGCGTCCTTATTGCTGGCTAAGCTAGACGTAACGGTTCATTGAACCGTTAGCCAAGTGAAAACTGAGCTTGGGATGTTATGAGCTTTTTCTTTCTGTGTCGTTACATTTCCCATACCCTTACGAGGAGCATCTACATAACTGCAATTATTTTGTACGAAAATAACAAACTTTAAACAACAACCAGCTGTATGTTACAATTCCGTATAAGTTTTATTAATAGCTTTGTTTTCCAGAAACAAGTAAACTTAACAGAATATCAAAGAGTCTATTTTGAGCTCTTTTACTTGTACAACCATTCAGTATTCTGAAAGCTAAGAAATTAAAGATTAATTGCATTTTAATTTCTAAGCAGAAATCGTTTAAACTTTAAAGAAATTGAATACTAGCCAGAGAAAACAATTTCTTTCGAGGAAAACAGATCTTCAATTATCTGAAATCTATATAGCACAGAAGCTTAATGAAACCAGAAATTAAATTCTTGAATATGCCATGTTTTCATTTCATTTCTTCTTTTCGAAAGAGTACTCAAAGCTGCTACATCTTGCTTCTTCTAGGATTTTCCCTAATGTATTTTCCTTGCATATATAGAACCCTTAGGAGTGAAGTGCAAATGCACTTGAATATTTTATGAGCGTGTGCTGGGCGCTGTTGTAGTTGCTGTCGCTCCTCAGGCATAATGAAAGCTTTTTTCCAGCGTCTGGCTGTTGTAATTATTAGGCAGGTGAACCTATCCAGCAGCAGCCTTCACCCCTTTTCCTTCCTCTCATCTCAGCCCGGGCTTTCCACCATCACTCTTTGCATAATTTTGCATAAAAGGAGGTGGCGAAAGCCAAGTTGAAACACTCAACTTGTTGAAAACTGAGCTCTGTGTATCCTTGCTGATTATTGATAGGCAATCTATATTTGGGTCGCCGGTGAAGCGATGGAGCGATGGATGAAGCAACACCTCCATCCTGGGGTCCATGCCAGTCCACTCCAATCGCAATCCAACCCATCCAGCAATCAGCCCACATCACACTCAAATAGGCTTTTGTCCTATTTTTAAGGCGTTTCAAGTAAAGCGCTCTGCCGCTGCTGCTGCTTGTGATGCTTTGGTTGGCTTTGTGTGGGCAGCCGGTTCGCATTCTTTCCGCGCTCGTTTCCAGACATATTTAGATGACCATATTTATAGCTCATTATTGGGGCAACACAATCTGTCATGTCTCTGTTAGATTCGAGTTCTTAATAGACACCCAAATATGGGCCGAAAGTATGCGAAACGAGTTGAGTTATTAAACAGTTCAATGGATTTCTTTAAAATATATATTTGGCCACAAGAAAGAATATACAAAGTATATTTCGATCTAAATAAAATCAAGTAGTGATCTTTAACCGATGCAATTTATGTGAAAAAATAATTTAAAAAGAATGAATGAATATTAGATAATATTTCAGTAGAGTATTGGTGTCAAACATTTTTTTAATTATCAATAAAAAGAATAGTGTATTATACTCATTGGATAACAAAGATCCAGAGTCCTTCAACAATTGGACTTATTCCTAATTACTGCTAATTTGTTAACTCCTACGAGTACTTTTTTTTTATAACTATTGATGTTGTTGATCAAACTTTATAACCATGAAAATAAAAATTGCACAACTTTTTTATACTCATTTTAAGCTAATCACTTTTTTATATAATTAACAATAATAATAAATAATATCTATATTAACATATATATCAAAATTATTGATGCATAAAAGTGCATATATTAAGTAAATTTAATTGAATAATTGTGATTTAATTAGGTACGTTTGTATAAACTAAGTCAATTTTTTCTCTATAACAAAATCAATTAAAAACTAATTTTCTGATTGAATAATCCTAATAAACAATTCGTTAATAAAAAATAAATAAAACACATTCCATTCCTATCGAATTCTAGTGTTCGTTAGGCCACTTCAATGCCGAGTTCAAGAAAGCCCAAAAAACCATAGTGGCAACCATTGATAGTACACTGTTATATCAGTCGAGGTCAACCGATTAGATCACAGATTTATGATTAAAAACAATACAGCGAGAGACAAAGTAAAGACAGGCAGTACAATCTGTACATTAATTTATGCAAATGTGGCGGAGTCCTTCTCCGCCAGACTGTTAAACGGCCTCACGCGTCAATTGGGATTGGGATTGGTCTATGGGACAGGCCAACCCACCATCGTATCCAGACATATGCATGTAAATACATATCTTCACTGATTCGGAATGGCAATGAGAATTTCTACAGATTTTCCTTTGTTATAACTTGTACACACATCTTTTGACAAGTTTCTGTTGCTGTTTCGGGTTCTGTTCGGTTCTGTTGGCGGGCAAGGTCTCTCTGCTGTCAGATAACGCAAGGAGCAGGGTGACAATGGCGAGAGAGGGGAATTATTTGATAATTAATTTAAAGCAAATAGAACAGAAATTCATAAGAAATCGAGAATATAATTGCCCACATGCCCCAGCACATACATACATCGTAGCATTTTTATACGACTTTCGAACAGAACAACACACAGACGCTTATCTAATCAAAATGTTTGTTATCTGCCAGGGGGGCACACTATGATATCATTCTCGCCGCCGATTCCAAGAGCAACAAAAAAGCCACAAAGTCTCGACCTTCAGCATATTTATGAAGCTTTTTTCGTTCGGTTTTTATTTAACTTTGAGATAGAGACGGCTTTGAATTAAAGCAGGCAGAAGAAGATGGCAAACAAAGTTAATGGCACGTGATATAAATGGCCAAGACCAGTGGAAATGGTTATAGTAAATATTGAGCGTAAGATTTACCGATTTTGTATGAAATATAGGTTCGGATTTGAGAATAAAAAACTCTTGAACTTTAATTTTTCACTATTATAATGTATCAAATATTCCAAAATAAAAACCATTTCTCCCACTGTAGCTATAGAAACACCTGCCTTACAATTTTCGTAAACTCAATTTGCTATCTCGCCCCTTTATAAGAATTGCTCTGTAAAATTGCAGCACCCCAAAGCCTTCTTTGTTTTTTTGGGGGTTGGCCTTTATTTAACCCCCAACGCAGTTCAACGAACCTAAATGTATCAGCCAAACGAGATAAAATCCTAATGTACGGACCGAACTCGTTGACCTTTATCGATTTGAAAAAGGAAAAGCTGATGCCATTGTTTTTAAAAAGTTTCTTATTCTTGCCTTGGGCTGGCATTAGTATATAGGAAGTGCCATCGCACAAATCTTTTGCACGCAGTCCTCCGCCGCTCAGCTTGTGTGCCGTCGTACATAATATTATTTTTTCAATAATTAAGAATTGCAATGCATCTGTTGTCTGTCTGTTTCGTGTATTTCAACGGGAAGGAAGTCGAAAATTGTATACACTTTTCAAATGAGAGGTTCTAAAATAAAGAAAAACGCTTTTCATACTTCATTTTCATATTTCCTAGCTATTATAAGGGGTTTTAAACGTATAATATAAATCTGATCCCTTTTAGAATAAACTTATCTAAATCTATGCCAATTTGTTGATGAAGCAATCATTAGCAAAACCAAATTCCCATGCCTTTCTCCAACACTTTATCAGCTATTTTGGGGATTTGCCCAATAAATGTATAATAATACATAGGTGTTTATACAATAAAATAATAAAAATCGCTTAGAGAAATAAATGTTTATACACACAGAATACAAGAGAATGTTACTTTTTGGCTATTTTTGGCTTTCTGCAATAAATGTATTAAAACCGATATATTATTTATACAATAGAAAATTATAAATATTTCAGGCACGTTACCAATGTTTATATAAAAAATATATAAACATTTCAGGATATGTTACAGTAAAAGCTGGCCATATCCCGAAATCATCCAGTTTTTCGAAAATTCTTGTTTATGTCCGAGATCTTTGAACTCGATTCGCATTCTTTAAAATTAAATTTCCTGGCTATTTTTGGCCAGCTTCAAATGAATGTGAAAAGCAATAAATAATCGATGGGGGTTTGGTACAATTAACATATAGAAAAGGGCGTTAAATCGGTAGAGGAAAACGCGCTGTCTGTGTGTCTGCGTGAGTAATTTGGCATCGGAGACCTTGAGAAAATTGAAAAATCACAGCAGCTCGGCCGAGGCGGCGAGAAATGAGATACTACGAGAACGTTTTCGTTTGCGTTTGCCCATAAAAACAATATAGATGTATTTATAAGCGTGTTTCGGTGGAGACAGAGCGGGCGGGTGGGTAGGTATAGCGAACATATATCTATATAAATATTTATACGCGGTGAGGCAAAAAGCACTTAGGCGGCAGTAGAGGCGGCACCCACTCTCAAATAAAAAAGAAAAACATATTTCAACTGTTGCTCTTCGCTCGCCGGTTTTACTCGCACTTGCGCACCCACACCCATTCGCACACACACACCGACAAATATATGAAGTCAAAATAATAGTCTTGGGTTTTCCAAAACTACTTACAAGAAAAACTAACTTAAGTCCAAGTGTCTTGACATATTGCAATTCTTGTTGAAAACGTTTTCAGCTTAAAAGTCTTGGGTTCTTAAGTTAAGAGAATATTAAATTTTATGTTTGCAAATAATAGTATTAATTAACCACTAGGAAAAAACAATAACCACTTTATAATCACACGGTTTCTTGAAATTCCCAACTGCATATTCTTCACCATCTCAAAAAATTATTTTAATTATTTAATTATTAATTTTATTATTAATGTCTTGTTTGCCAAGAAATAAAATGTAATTCCAAATTTTATGATATAGTTAGGAAATAAAAGTGTTAAAAGTGTCCTAAAAGAATTAAGTGCCATTAAAGGAGATTTAATATATTTTAAATTAAATTTTTTAATCGTTTCATATCATAAACCTTGATATAAGGTCACATTATTTAGATGTATTGCGATTTTAACCACAAGTGTTTGCACATACATACATACATACATAGATACAGTTGCGATGACGTCGCCATTTCAATCACTCACTCTCCCACTTCGTTGCTCTCTCTCTCTCTGCTTTTCTGTCTATCTCTCTCGGCTGGCCAAAGCTCAACTGAGAGAGATCCCTATTTGGAACAATCGGGATAACTTGATTCCAAACTAGATGTGGCAGACAAACAAATACAGATTGTAAACGCTGAATTGATTTGCAATATCGTGACACATATACACGCTGTTATGTGCTATAGATCGGCGGGCAGATAAGACGGGGGAAGCGACATTTATTTGCGCCAAATTGGCAGCACCGTCGATCAAAGTGAGCGAGAGACGTCAATTAACACCTAACCGCAAATATTTCATATATTATATATCAAGTACGAATGTACGTATATAGGTGACCATGTATGTGTAGTATGTGCATTGGCGACCGCAGATTAGATTAAATTTGTTATTACTTTACTTTAAGGCGTTCATGCGGTTTTCTCCACACCCCCAATAGCCCCACCTCTTCACTCTCTAGTCTCCAACACGCTTTTTCTCTCCTCTATCTTTCTCTCTGTTTATCTATCTCTTGCAGTTTGGCTCTCACCATTCATTTATTCATTCATTCATTACAACCATATCGCAACCTTTAAGCTATGCTTTTGTTGCTCGTCTGTTGCTTTGTTTGTTTGTTTGTTTGCATCACTAGAAAAAACGCAGAAATAATAAAACTAGTTGTGGTCCCCCTATCTTTCTCTCTCTCTCTCTATATATATACCGGTTTTCCTATATATATTTATTTTTTAACTCTTTAGCATTAAGCGTATACACTTTGCAGGGGCTTTTGGATTTTTGCAATTTATTTGCTCAGTTTGACATTTATATAAAAACCCTGTTATTATGAGATTATAGTAACCTGTAAAAATATGTTCTTTAAAAATTATTAAAGGTTTTAAATTTGACGTTTTCATAATTTGTAGAAATATTGAAATAAATCTAATGTAATCGTTAAGAACTAAAATAAAATTAGAAAACTTTATGGAAGTAAGTAAGTATGTAAGGGTATAAGAAAATCGTATTTCCAAAAGACAGTTATTATTGTGGTTTTCTTTTTTTATGGTTTTGCCGCTGCTTTTTACTGTGCAATTTAATTGGCAGTTTCTATTGTTGGACCCTCGAAAGTAAACATGCAAAGGCAAAAGTTAGTCTAAAGCTGAGGAAAGGAAAGGAAAATACAATAAAAGGCTTTCGTGCACCAGTCGCCGAAAAACGCAATGACGTCACATGCAGCGAAAGACGTCATCAATTGATTACAGGTGGGGGAGTGGGCCAGTGGGTGGTAATTGGGCGGTGGGTGGCGCTTGAGAGGCGGCAGAGTTGCAACTGCGTCGCAAAATAATTCAATAACCACAAAACGAAGCGAAAAATGCTTAGATCATTCACAATAGACCACAAAAGGGGGCGAAAATAACATACACACACATACACAGCTGTGTTGAAAATAATAGTAGTAATAAGTTTTTATCGCTTAAAAAACATGTGTAAAAATGTTTACTTTGAGAGCAATTACTTGTTACTGTTACTATTAGTTCGGAAGATGACGTAGCTTAAACTTAAACTTTTTTACTAATCACTTGAATATACATACATACATATATATTTTTAATTATTTATATTACAAAAATTGAGGAACTAAAAATGGGCCAAGTGAGGTTTTTGGGAAAGTGGGACAGAAATACAGAGATACAGATTTTCTTCTATTGTAGTATCTAAAACTCAAGAATTTAATATTTTTGTACGTCTTAAATTTAAAAGCAATTTGAAATACTTGTTAAAATTCTGTACTTTATTGGAATCTTGAATCTTCTTTACTATAACTTGGACGAGTGGAAAATATCGTGTTAAATCAAGGTGGAAAATTAAATTCAGTTAAAATTAAACATTTAAATACTTAATTCGCTGCCACTTACAGAAAATACGGCATTTTGCTACTGTAATAGAGATACATATGTATATTACTCCTACAATTATATTGACCGCAATCGTGTGAGCACGAAAGGTCAGCGGGGCGTTGGGGTTTGGGGCTTTGAGGGGCCTTGGGTGCTAATGTTCGTGGGGTGGTGAGAACTTCTTGGCAGCGGACAAGTGTCCTTTCGTCTTTGTTGTGACGCCGTGCTTTTTGGCTGACAATGCTGATGAGTCATGAAGTCATGAAGGAGAGAATGCCTTTTCTTTTCTGCTTTTTCGCTTTCTGTTTTAACACTCGATTCCGATTGGGGTGTCGGAGGGGAGGGGAAAAGGAGACTCTGCTTACCTTTGTCATTGGGATAGCTGGGATAGACGTTCAGCTGCTCATCGTCGCGGGAAACTTGCGTGATTATTGATGTTGCATCCATTTAAGAGTTCGGCTTGGGGCTCCACCACACTCCGCTCGTTTAACAGGTTGATTCGTATCGGATAGCTGCAAAATGTTGCACACACATGAGAGATACACATGACAATAATGATAATTGCGAAGCGGCGGCGCTCTTTTCCACTTCAACTTCAACACCAACTTCCACATTCTACTTCCAATTCCACTTCCATGTTTTCTTCTTTTTCTCTTCGATATACATATGTACATGTATGGCACACAAACACACAGCAATTGATGTACAACGACAACAACGACAACAGGCAGGCAGGCTGCCCCAGACAGTGGAATTTTACAATTACGCTTTGGCCGTCCGTTCGCTGCGATGCAAATGGGTTTTCCCTTTGATATTCACCTCTCTCGCTCTCGCTCCCTTTCGCTCTTTCTCTCTCTCTATATATTTCTTTCGCTTTGCACAGTAATGCACTTTCGCCTTCGCCTTTTGTTGTTTTAACTTAAAAACTGATATTCGCTTTCTTTTCCTTCGCTCTTGTTTTTAGTTGGGCTCATTCTTTTACTCTTTTGTCGCGTCTGCTTTTCGCACACAGCTTCGGAGCGTTTTATTTATAAACGCCCACACACACTTACACAAACACACACGCACGCACACTGTCTCGGCCGCTGATGTTTTCGGTTTCCTCGTTCTTTAATTTTTCGCACTCGGTTTCACTACTCGCATCTTGCGTTTTCCATTAATTAATCGCTCTCGGATCGCGCAAAAAAACAAAACGCGTACGTCGAAAAAAGTGAGGAATAAACAAAACGCGTGGACCAGTGTGACCGGAGGAATAGCGCAACAGTGTTGCCAGCTTAGCTTATTTTGGGCTAGATCTGGCAAATTAGCATATTATTTACAAGTACTTTATAGCCTTTAAATAGCGCATCTTAATAGTGATCTAGCAACGTAAATCGGAACTTTCGAAAGTAAAGAAATACACACATTTTCCGCTCATAAAATGCGCTTTTATTTCCATCATTAATTATTTATGATCCCAAAATGATAAAATGAATCTTACTGAATACGGACAAGGAGAATTAAGTTTTCAATCATTAAATCATCAATCATTTTAAATCATGAACAAAATCTCTTAACAAAATGTATTTTTATCCTTTTCATGCAATACTATACATAAGGTAATTAAATTATTTAAATAAAAAGGTTTAAAAACATAAGTAAATAAATACATTTTCGTTTGTTTTGTGATTTTTTTATTTTTAGCTTGTTTTATTTTCTTTTTTCTCAGAATCTAGCTTATAGGTAAGTCAAAAAACACCAAGGCGAAATACTTAATTCACAGTAAAATGCACTAAATTTGACCAATATACCAATAATTCGCTGATGTCAGTCCATTTCCCATCGTTCCATTTCAACGATAATATGTCGGATAATCGTTTTATTTACCTTTATTTTACGTATTTTTCTAGAATCTATATTATTAGTTATTAATTATAGAATATAGATATACAAACGAATTTTTTCTCTGTCAAAATGACTGAATAATATCGATACCGGCAATATCGCAGCTTTAAACTATCGAAAACAGCCGCATCGGTAAGACCTATCGATGTACCAGTTCTAAAGGCCAAACTAGTTCGGTTCGGGCGGATCTAGCGGTAGAGCTGGCAAAAAATCGCCGTTTTTCATTATTATATTTCTCGATGTTTTTAAGCCATACAATAGCCCATGCACACATATGATGTATGTTATATATTTAAAAATTACTTTTATTACAATAATTCAATTAGTCGTTTTTACTAATTATTTATTATTGTAGACTATAAAAATTAATTGAAACGTAAAATTAAGTTTCTTAATATTTACATTTTTTGCCTAGACTTTAATACATTTCGATAGGATGTTGTTATTTATAGTTTCTTTAGAACTACTCTCTAATACTTTTTGTTTTCTAATATTCCTTACTTCCTGACATAAATGAAAGCAAGCAAGCAAAGCAAGCAAGCGGCTATAAAAGACATCGATTAACAGAAAAGTGCTGGTGAATTAACATTTTCAAGAGATCATACTCCGATAGATACTTTTGTATCTTTGGAATACAAAATTAAGTTGAATTGTTTTTTCAAAAATTTCAAAGTAAAAAGAGCAAGTGGCTCTCAGCTAATTGCAAACTTCGAAAGCTTTTCCACATTAAAATATATATAGCGGGAAGTAAGCTAAACTGGCACCTCTTATATGTTCGATAGAAATTTTCCGATGTTTTGTCAGCTCTATCTACCCAGCAACGACAAAGTAGGAAATAATTTCCACACCTGATAAAAATTGTATTTTGCATCTTTAATCGAGACCAGGGCAGCTTTTTATCCGCGTCTTCGCAGTTTTTATACCATCCCAACCGCAGCGACCTTGCCCAGTGCGTGTGCCTTCGATACAGTGCTTAAAATTACGTAGGGGCCAGGAGCGACGGAAAAGAAGGAAAATATCTAAAAATATTTTTAATCGCCGTGAAAGTAGCCAGCAGCAGATTTATTTTCGCGAAAATAGCGCTTGGAGTAACTAATTGACTGCGAAAATGGTTCTCAAAGTTTATGTCAGCGGCATGTCCGGCAACAAGGAGGTGAGTTTGTGGGCGTGGCGGGGGCTCCTGCACAAGAGCGAGGTACTGTCTTTTTAATGGAATGTTTGGCCCTGTCTTACCAGCAAACATAGACAATAGGGAAGCAAATCGGCAAGGGGGCAGAAGACTGGTGACGAATGCATTGCGAATTCTATTTCTTTTGCTGCGCTTGTACGTGTTCGAGTATGAGTGTGCGTGTGATGATGGCATATATGTATGTATGTACAGTCGAATAAAAACAGAAGGAAAAAAACAGAGCCCCACAGCAAGTGGGCATTGTTTGGTTGTGTGCGTGTTGGTGTGTTTTGGTGGTGGCAAGAAGCAGCACAAACATATTTTTCAATGCCCATATAAAGCTTATTCGAGAAGAGAGAGAGAATCCATTGATCGCAATCGCATGGCTTGATGCGTGGGCACTCTCTCTGCGCGTGAGTGTGCGTTAGTTAAAGGAGTGATTCACCTCTCTCTGTTTTCCATCATCTCTTTCGCCTCGCCTTCTTTGTTCAATTCGCAATGTCGCCAATAAGAACAATAACATAACGGTCATTGTACGGGTCACAATAGCGAATGCAATAACAACAAAGCTTTTGTCTGCTGTTTGTTTGTGTTGTGTAGCATCTACATACTTCGAAATCCCAGAGTATGAGAGCATGAAATCAAGGGGAGCTACAATTCTTTATCAGAAAGTTAATTACCCGAGTGCAACAAACCATTCCAATTAGTTGGCTTTATCATTCTCCCCCGTTATCTACGCTTGCATGTTTGGATGTGTGGTTGTGATTTTACTGCGACTCTGTGTGAGTGTTGGGCTTGCCGGCAACATTTCATTACCGATAAGTCATCGCTGTAAATAACAGGATTGTTAAAAACAGTGTTACACTGAAAGATATGTAAGCTAAAAAGGTGAATTTAAAAATATAATTTTCAAAATCGTATTACGTTACATATAACATATTTTTTTGTTGAGGAATATGATTAAAAAAGAAATTTAAATAATTTAAGTCAGAAGCTTGTAACGCTGTGGAGTATATTAAACAGAGCTTAAAAACTTTTAGTTATTAGGTTAATAAATCTGCATTCTCTTCCTACTTAAAATTTTGGAACAATTTTCACAATTTTCAAGATGTAACCCATTACCAAATTTGGAAAAAATTTGTAAACTTTTTTCCTGTCGGAGATGGCTAGATCCACTCGGCTGTTCATGCTGATCAAGAATACTTTAAATGGTCGGAGATGACTCCTTCACTGCGTAGCAAACTTTTGACTAAAATTGGAATACCCTGCAAGGGTATAAAAAGGTTTTAATTGTAACATCTGGCTAAAAAATACACTATTTGTTTTGCAGGTGAAGAAGCGACAGCAGCGCGTGCTGATGATCCTGGACAGCAAGAACATCCAGTATGACACCGTCGACATCACGGAGCCCGGCAAGGAGTCCGAAAAGGAGCTGATGCAAAACAAATCTACTAGCAACGGTGGCACCGTGAGCGATCCGGATCCCCGCCATCCCCTGCCCCCGCAGCTATTCAATGATGACGAGTATTGCGGCGACTACGACGCCTTCGACATGGCCAACGAGATCGACACCCTGGAGGTGTTCCTCAAGCTGGCACCCGCCGATACCACGGCGGTCAGTACTGCCCAGATTGAACTGAAGCAGGAAAATGGCGAGGCCAAAAAGGAGGAGGCGGAAGCGGAGAAGGAGAAGGCTGCGGAAGGTGGCGAGGGCGATGAGGCGACGGAGAAGGCCGAGGTTTGAGTTTGAGCAATTTTCCTGTATTTTCCGTTAACTGTTACGACGCAACGAACAACAGCAGCATCTTCAACAAGCAGCATCAGCAATAGAATTAACAGCCGCCACTTTTTGAAACTAAAACCGTAAAGCTAACACGAGCAATAACCCGACATGTTTTCTAACAGCACAGACACTACCAAACTCTCTATATCTTTTTTATATAACCCCCGTTTCCGTTTTCTATTCCCATCGAAATTCGGTGAAAATGGAATTGATCGAACAATACTTGCGTATTTTTTAATCAAGTTCTCTTTAATTAAAGTTATTCTTTGACAAAGGATTTCGAAATCGATGTGCAATTTTTTATACTCTCTTTTAAAATGCAGCTTTGGCTTAATTGATCTATTTGATCTTCCAAATAACCGAAATTTTGCATCAGATTAGAAACCGAAATCAGGTACTCGCGTATATCATCAAATCGCGTTTTATATTTTAAACGAATTCACACCACGACGACTGCGGTTCTTAAGCTAATTTTACGAGCCTATTTAAGTGAAATGACAATTTTAATCAAAAAATATTTATAATCATTAACTTACATCCTACACACATCTTTGTATGTAACATTTATACACAACTATACGGACTCGGAATTCACGCCAGCACTTAAGCCTAAGTTGAATCGACTTAAATAAGAGCGTAGGAAGCTGAAATTTTTTGTGCGGCCGCCGTTATGTTAATGCTAAAACATAAAAAAGTGCTGCCCATGTAATAAAATGAAATATATTTGTATTAACTAAAAAGGAACATAACAAACTGCAAGCTTGTTTTTCTAACACTTTAACACGTTTAATACACTTAACAGCACACGTTACTTAACATCGCTGCAGCTCCGGAAGAGTTTGATGCTAGTAAAAAGTGAGAGAAGAATGGGTTTTGAAAATATTTTACTGTAAATAAAATCGTTTAAAAATTTAACTGACATTAAAAATATGTACCATAGAAACAGAAGAAGTTTAAAGCAAAATCTCAAATCGATTTTTTAGAACAGATATTTTCATTACCCAATCTTATATTTTTCTTGCGCATTGTTTTTGCGGTGAATACTAAGCTTTACAATTTTTTTGTAATAATACTAACGAGTCCGTGATTGTCTAAAAAAGGGAGAAGATGGCGAGGACAAGGACAAAAAGGAGGGCGATGAGGAAGACGCCGACAAAGAAAAAGAAGAAAATTCAGAGGAAAAGGTAATTCATTGCCTCTTGTAGCATGGACCAAACATAACACGAGATTTTAGGCTTATAAAAGCTAACAACAGCATGATATTGCACTGTAGAAGCCCAGTTTAGGTAGAGATCCCACTGATTTGATCTTGTATATACAATTTCCACTTCCCTCCCAAAAAAAAAAATATATAAAAAAAAAACATTCGCACGTACCACAATCCAATCACAACCCACAAAAAGACTGAAACCGCTGCAGAGGAAGAAACCGAGGATAAGGAAAAGAAAGAAGAGGCGACAGGTAAAAACTGGAGAAAGTTCTTAAGCGTTCACGTACTCATAGTAATGTAAAACAAAGGAACAACTACCAAAAACACTTCCACTTAACTGTATTTTGTAACTTTATTTTTCAAATTCGGGTTTTCAAATATAATAATTACGAAAATGTGGCAGTTCCTTACTTTTTCATTACTTGCGGCGAGAGTACTTTTAGACACTAACATATATTTGTACCTTGATGGTGAAACAGAAAAATCCGAAGATGAAACCAAAGAAAAATCTGAAGAAGAAGAATCTACAAAAGAAACTGAAGATAAAGACAAAGAAACGGAAGAAAAATCTGAAGCTGAGACCAAAGAAAGCGCAAACGAAGCCGAAAAGCAGACTGAGGATAAGGACGCCGAAGAAGAGTCTAGTGGCGATGAGGAAGAAAAGGATGAAGAAGCAAAGGAAGCAGAAAAGGAGGAGAAAGGTGCGGACAAGGAAGTCAAGGAGGAAAAAGACTCTAGTAACGATAAAGAAGAAGGGGATGAAGAAGCTACGAAAGCAGAGGAGGTGGAGACAGATGCTGAAAAGAAAAATACGGAAGCTGACAAAGAGGACGACACACAGGTGGAAAAAGAAGCATCAGAAGAAACCACGAAAGCTATAGAGGAATTAGAAAGTGCCGAAGCCGACGAGAAAAAGGAAGAAGAAACAGAGGAAAGGGCGGATAAAACTGACGAGGTAGAGCAGACACAGAAGCCTGACGAAGAAGCGCAAGAAGATGAAACGGATAAAAAGGAAGAGAGTAATAAGCCGGAGGCCGATGAAGGAAATGAAACTAAAGATGAAGAAGAAGATGAGCATGTAGAAGAAAACAAACAGGTGGAAATAACTACCGAGGAGGAGAAATCAGAGAAACCTGAAACACAAGAGGAAGAAACGGTAGACAAGGCAGAGAGTAGTAAACCAGAAGACGACAAAAATAACGCCTCATCGGAAGAAAGCGAGGAGGAAGAGGAATAACCTGAATGAAGAAGAAAAACAACGGCTATCAAAGATACACACATACACTGACATCCTCATCTCAATCACATACATACATATTTAAAACTGAACCTTTAGCCAAATAATACCGAAATGTTCTGTAAATAGAAACAAATGAAACCCACTAATAACAAATTTGGTGACGGGAAAACGTATCCCAGGAGTGTAAGTCTTAATCTTTCATTATTTAATTTCTTTCTCTGCATAATTTCTCCGCAACAACAACGACAGAAGTTAACAGCGACGCCAATATCAACATCAGCGAGCTCTGACGGAGAGCGGCATCAGGCATCAGAATCCCTTTCGGAACTCTTATTGGACAGCGAGCGAGCCGCGGCTGCGCAGTGATTTTCATTTTCGAACTTTCTGATTTTCGAATTTTCTAATTGGGCTGGTTGCTGTTTTTATAATTTTAAATTAAAAATTATCAACAATTTATGAACTAAAGCAATATTATTGATTATTCTCTAGTTTTTGTCCTTGCAAATACAACACAAACTTGATTATGATTAAATTAAATTTATCAAACGGTAGTTCATATTAAATTCACACTGAAAAGTTGAAAAGCTAATAGTATGCACCAATTAAAAAATTGTCTTATACTTGATCACGTTTAAAGTAATATTTATATAAAGAATTAAATCAAATATATTTGATTATTTATATAAAACTTGATAATTTTTATTCAGTTTGAATTGGTTACCTATTTATAACTTAAACTCATATTGAAATCAGCAGCCGGCCCGAAGGGGATATATTTCAGTTAATTACCACTCGTAAAAAAATATTAATATCAATAGACTTTTTGTATTTACGTGTCTCACTTTTAGTTCTTGTATCCAAATAATTAAATATACAGTACATTATAATTATAATTAGTACAGTACACGGTAAAATGAAGTTGTTTATAGTTATTATTTACGCTCTAGTTCGGGATCGTCGTTTCCATTACAAAACTAGTAAAAATGTGAAGGAGAATCGCCTCCTCCGCCACGCAAAACTCATTTACTAAAAAGGAAAAACAAAGAGTCTTCTTCCGTCCCAGAGAAAGAGAGAGAGAGAGAAAGATAGGAGGAGATCGAGGTCGTTTGGGTGTGGTAGCGTAACGTCGCGTCCTTCCATCCTTCCGCCTGTCTCTGTCCATTCCATTTAGTCGCTGCCCTCCTCGTCGGACGTGTCTGTGGTGTAGTCGCTCAGGTTCTCCTGTTGGTCATTGTGCTCCGGCTCTGATTCGCTCAGGTCCCACTGGGGATGGTCTGTCGGTGGTGCAGGCGCCTTTTGCACGTCCAGCTTAAGCTCCTGCTGCTGGTCCATGCCCAGATAGGAATCTGTAAACACACCACAAGTTTATTGTTTTAAATATTATTCGAATAACATTAAACTTCTTAATTTAATTGAACATTAAGATTAAATTATGAAGGATAATCTTTCTAAGCAACTCACCCGATCTCAGGCACACGGTGAACGTGTAGACGCCGGGCCAGCGTGGCGCAGTAAACTTCAGCTGGATCTCTTCCTTCTCGACCAGATTGGTCACGTGATAGGGAGCCGTGAGCAGGGTGCGCGACTTGCGATCGCAGATATAGGTCCACCAGTACTCCTGCTTCTCCTCGGGGAAGTAGGGGCAGTGGACGGTGTGCGACAGCCGGGACTTGCCCTCAAGTCGTTCCCTCTTGTTTAACTTCGCTTGCAGTCTCTCCCACTCCTCGTCATCGTCGTCGTCCAACGACGAATGGTTCTTATTACCCTTCTCGTCGTCTTCGCTGCCGCTGCCGCCGGCCACTGATTCCACATCGCTGCCATCGCCATTGCCCACTTCGGATTCAGCATCAGAGTTGCCTGTTTGATCCTCGGAAGCGGTTGCATTGGCTGTTGTCGTTGATGACGCTTTGGGCGGGGCCTTCTTCTGGTTGTTTTTCTGGTTTTGGGCGGGCTTTTTACCACCCTTGCCCTTTCCACCCTTTCGAGGCTTCGCCCAGGCGGATGCCTTTTTGGCCGGCGCAGCCGCGGCGGCAGTATCGTCATCATCCGCTGCAGCCTCCTCGTTGGCCTCGTTGATGCCCTGCTTCTCCGGCGCCTTGGTGTCCCCGAACAGCGACCTCATGTCCTTGCGCTCCAGCGTAACAGTGACCGTGACAATTGCGCCTGCGGTGACCACATTCGTGTTCTCGTCGTCGATCACCTCGCAGCGGATGGAGAAGTCAATTAGCGGCATCTTGCCCAGCACCTTCATCGTGTTCTCGTACTCAAAGTCCGAAAGGTTCTTCAGCAGGACGCGACTCTCCTCCGGCTTGAGCTGGGCGAACTGCTGCAGGTTTTTCACGTGCCGCTTCTTGTTCATGAAGTACAGATGGTCCTCGGTGAGGTGGGGCAGCTGAAGCAGCGGCGACTTGAACTCCCACAGGCCCTGGATGATCATTGGCGACATCTTCATGCAGTTCTCAATCGTCTCGATGCTGGGCAAACGAGGCACACGCCTAGCGTAGGCCATCATCACCAGCTGGTGTACGCAGGAGACCATCTCTTGGACCAGATACGGGCACTTCTTCACCACAAACTGGCGGTCACGTTCCAGGGTTTCCGGATTGAGTGGCATGCGACCTAGATGGGCGTGCAGGATGGCGCGAGCCTTTATGGAGTACATTCGGCACAGCGGGTGCTCCTTGCACTTCTCATTTAGGTTCGGTAGCTGCCGGATGAGCTGTTCACAAAGAGGGTTTCTTATTATTTTGGAAATTCGGATGGATCAGTCGGCACTTACCGCTGGCACTTCGTCGTTATCCGATTGCCGCTCCTGCACTTGCGAGTTGTGGCGTTTGTCAAACTCTAAACTAGCCGCCAGTACCATCAGCGCCCGCTTGAGCAGCATGTGCGGCGTCTTGTGGATAAAGTAGAAGTACATTTGGGTGGTGTCGAGCAGCACCTTGTCGCCGCTGAAGCGAATGGAGCGGTACCACCAGACGCCCACAGCCGAGGGCATGGCTACCATGAAGACCAGGCCGTACAGGCCCAGCACCCAAACGCTGTTCTCCTTCTCGACAATCCATGAGGGCAGGGCGATGCCGAAGGACATGGCGCCCGGTCCGTCCGGATTGCCATACTTCTCGTAGTTCTCCTTGGCCACGTCATCGGTCAACGCCTGGTAGGCCTTGCTCAGCATCATGAAGGACTTCTCATCACCCGTCTCCTTGTCCGGATGCAGGACTTTGGAGAGTCTATAGTAGGCCTTCTTGATCTCCGCCTGCGATGAGGTCGGCGGCACGCCCAATATTTCGAAGGGATCGAAACTGGCCATCTCGTAGTCGAACTGCGAGACGCGGTAGGTGAGAAAGAGCAACAGGGCCCAGCCCAGGACAATGGTAAGCTTGATGCCCCATGACTTCAATGCCCTGTAAGGCTCGGCATTGGCCAGGATGGCTTTCTTCTTCAGACAGTCGGCGCATTGGCATTCATCCTTTAACTTGCTGGGATCTGCAGAGAAGAGAACCAAGAACAGTTGGTTAATTTGCAATATAATTGTTATCAGATGAGTAGGTCTGTGTGCACGTGTTTTTATATGTAAGATTTAATATTCGCCAAGTTAAATCTTACAAGACCTTTAAATACGTAACTTTATTTGTAAGTTTCAAGTTTCTAATTTATTAATAATAAATTAGATAAAATTAAACGATTTGCTTAAAAATATATCATTTTAAACATTTGAACAAAATTAAGAAAACTAAATATTACAAATCTAAAACGCCCCAATGACTGAGCGGTATCTATAGCTGCATTTTTAAGTCACATAAAGATCTGTTCATTCTTTTTACTCTAAGAAGTTACAAAGATCAGAAGATCACGGAAAGACATTATGAGTTATGTCTTAGATTCACCGACTTGGCGACGCATGAACGCGTCCAGAGTGGCTGTTCCAATTGGCAAGAGAGCTTCGCTCAATTCGTGTTTTGCGGTAATCACAGCTTTCACCAATACGCAGAAGACGCCGAGCTGAGCTGACGTTGTTAGAATAACTTATTGGAACGTGTCCATTTGCAGTAAGGAAATAAGAGAGAGAGCTGCGAACACATGTAAGCTACGCACACACAAACACACACGCGCCCAGCTGCAGGTGGAAGAGCAAGAGGAAGCGAGAGCGATTAAAATCGGCTGGGCAGCGGCACTAACCTTCTTTCTTTTTACGTGGCCAATAGTAAATCGTTGTGGGTATCAATATAAGCGCCAAGAACGATAACACAAAGTAGTAGAAAGTTCCTCCGCTCTCGTCGTACTGGAACTTTTGACCCGCCATCGCCGATGTGCCCTCCTCCTATCTATATCTATATATATACGCCTCGTCTGGCCTGCCTTTTCCGTGCACTTTTCCTCCGGCAGCTCCAGCTGATGCTTCTGGGCTTGCTGGCGGAGTTTTGTAGTGCCTTCAGCGGATTCCCGATCAATGGTGGCGCGACGCTGTCTAAGCGGGCGCGTAGGTGGGCGGGATTGTTGCTGCTGCAATAATGCACGATTTGTACGCCGCGAATTTAAAAAAAACTTTACAAATACAAACTGACACGTAGGTTTTAGGGTTGTTGAAAATATATCAAAATATCAATGTATCGATATTTTTCTCAAAATATATCGTGATATTTTGTTAGCCCAAATATCGATTTTGCGATATTTTTGGATTTATTACAAACTTTGTTTGGTTACTCTCATTCCGATAAGGCCATTAGGCTGGCCACACTGGTCACACAAGCAAGAGAGTTAAAAGAATTTTGCGGGTAAATTTAAAAAAATTAGAGCGTTAACCTAGAAGTTCGGGTGAAATGAAGAGGAGAATTAAGAAAAGGTGCTGGGTTACTATGAGAATACAATTCAAAATATGATTTCAATGATAATATTAAGTATAGGAATGTAATTAGGTCGTCTGCCCAAATATATATTTAGCCAAATCTTGCCTTTTTGAAAGAACAGAAGCGGGAAAAAATTTAGAATTGCGTGAAGCTGAAATTTTGAAATGTTTTTTAAAGGTGTTTTCCGATTTTTTCTCTATAAACTCCTTGAGTTTCTTGGGTTCATGTTCCTTTAAACTATTTTATATTGTATTGTATGTATGTTGTTTAAAACTTGTAGTAATTATGTTAACATTTTTAAACCGGTGTGTTTAAAAATATTTTTTGAAATTTTATGGTACTAGGTTAAAGCAACAACTATTGAACAACTCCGATAAATGTAATGTGCTCATTTTCTTGTTCAACTTTATATATCTTCCACACTTATTATTATTTTTTAGATTAAAATGTTAATTAAGAAAAGTTTTTCAAAATTCCTTCTATTGATTCGTAAAGCTTTAGTATTGACTGGACAAAATAATTTGTATAAGAACAAAAATGTTGAAATTAATTTTTATTATTATTTTATATTAAATTTTCAATGTGACAGTTAATAAGCGCTATATCCAATTTTTAACAATTACTAATACTACAACTTAACATGACACATTTATTTTGAATTCTGTTTTTACAACCATCTGCATCCGCTTCTATAGCTTTTTATGGCCAAAAGGCTGGCAGCACTACACCGACGCGCATGCCGGAGTCGGAACTGGAGATGGCTTGGCAACTAGCTTATCAATTTAAGTTTAAGTAAGTGTGGCGTCCCTGGTTTCAACGGATTTGTTGCATTTAATTACTTTTGTGTTGAATTAAGATTGACACTTAATTTAAAAAAAAAAATTATTGATTGAGTGTCGACAGTCAGAAAGTCATAAGCAAATAACCTAACAAAGTTAAGTTAAAATACAAAAAATAAATATACCAGTATCGGTGGTGTGGTAGCACTGTTAGGTTTGTTTTTGTTTTCAATAGTTGAATATGCAGGTTAAATTATCAGTAATACTAACTCTAGTTTTATCTCAAAACAACATAAATGAAACATTCCCAAACATTTGCACAACATGCCCGATAACTAACTTCTTATCAAAATACCAGCACTATCCTCCATCTTCACGAGGCGTTTTGGTATTTTCAGAACGATCGTGAATGCTGCAAAGTGTGCGCCAATAAATTGGTGGTTTCCCGGAAAAAGTGATCATTAGCAGTCAAACTGCGGCGAAGCAAGTTGAATTTTCAGAAGGTACGACATGGCAGGGGCTACAGAGAACGGCGGGACAAACCGCACCGCCCGCGAGGTGCAGCAAAACTTTGCCGAATCCCTTGGCTATGCGGAGGAGATAATCTGGGATCTGTGAGTACTGCGCAGTTGGCTATTCGCATTCAAAAAACTAAATTTAAGGAAAATTTCATACGCAGGCTATCTCAAGAGCAATCGGAAATTCTGATGAACAAGCTCAGGGAGTTGATCCGTGATCCCCAGCCGCCCGGTGGAGGCTCTTTGGATGACGAGAACAAACACCAAAAGATCATCGCCGACAATATGAGAGCGCGGGAGACCATCTTTAATGCCGTGTGGGAGCAGCGTAAGCCGGGGATCGGGGTTGTCCAGACGGTTATGTAACCACCTAACACCCTTTGTTTCAATGCAGGAAAATACACAAATAGGCAGTCGTTGACGGCAATCATCTATGTGATGGTGGTCGAGGGCACTGACGATGTGAATCGCGCCGAGGACAGCAAAAAGTTCTCCTGCCATCCAGTTTTCCGTGCCCGTCGCTGTATCCGTGAGTTTTTTAATCTCAGTAATCTAATCTTGGTCTAGAAACTGTCAATTTTGAGGATCTAGAGGATTTTTATATATATTTTTTTTTAATTTAAAGATTAGTGAAAACTGTTAAATGCATATTCTAAACTAATCTTATTTCCCTGCAGACAGCCGCAGTGGCACCAGCAGCGACAGCTCCGATTGCTGCAACATATTCGTCGATGAGAACGGACGCGTCTACCAAAACTGGGCACAATATGTGGCCAACAATGAGCTTCCCGCCGGCATCATGGTGGCCCCTGAACGAGGAATTTACCGCGTTGTTAGCGAGCAGGTGCGCCTGGACAAGTATGTAACGCCGGCGGGCAGCACCAACAGAAGAGTGCTTGGGTATCTGGATACCGGATCAGCTGTGGGAGGCTTTGCCGCAGCCTGCATCCCAATAGCAGGGCTCCTTACACTCCCGGTATCTGGACCGGCGATGGCTATAGCTGGAGTGGTGGGTTTGGCCAGTGCCGGCTATGCTACGGCCCGTTCGAGTGCCATGCTGGTGGATCGCAACCGACACGAGCAGTCGATCAGTGTAACAGACCGACAGGCCCGCGGCCATTGGCTGGGCGTGATCGCAGGCGCCGTTGGGTTGGGAGCAGCCGGCGCCACCCAAGCCGTGTCGGCGGCTACGAACGCCGGACGGGAAGTGGGAGCGGTATGTGAATATCCTTACCTAAGGGTAGAAAAAAAATGGAATATATTAAATTTTGAATATTATTTCAGATTGCCCAAATGACGGTGAACGGCATGAACATCTCCTCAATCGTCATCTCGGGCACTGGAGTGGCCAACGGTGTGCTGGATTTGATACTGGTAAGCTAGACAGATACAGAGATATTGACCTGTACGCTAATGTTTGTACCGTAGAAAATGAGGGATGGTGATGACATCAGCACCATGGACGTGTTGCAGTTGTCCGCTTCGCTGGTGCTGTTCACACACAGCGTCTACAATTTCAAGTTGGCGTCGACCATTATCAACGAGACGGCCAACAGGAATATAGCGGGCTATCGGGACACACTCAGCAATCGCCAGAGGTAAGAACCTTAAATGCTTAGAAGTGAATATTGAACTGATTCATCTCGGATATGCGTCCTTGCAGGCGCGCCTTTGACAAAGCCTCCAAGGAAACTGTCCGGTTGCGGGGCAATACGCGCGGCAGGCTGGACATCATTCGCAACGTCAACGAAGTGCCCTCGAGACAGCAGTTTAATGACCTCTACAAGATCAATAAGAACATGAACCAGGAGGGTGTGCGATACGCATTCGCACCAGAAGGAAATGGCTTCGTGCTTAATGGCGAGGTGCAGACGTCGGCGGCAGATTTGCGGGCGAGTGTGCAGCACAACCAGGGCCCAAATATACTGGGTCAGGTGAGCCAGCCCATCCCGGCTAGTCATGCCGCCTCAGGCAATTTGCGGCTAGATGGTCAAAATCAGGTTTCCCGCTTGACCGGACCGCTGCCGACGGCCAATCCGCGCCCAGAGCCGCCCACCTATGCCGTTGGCGTGTTCGCGCTGGAGCTTAGCTCTGTGATGGTGGGCGGCGTGTTGTTTGTCCTGGAGAAGTACGGACGCACTATCTTTGAACATGTGATCAACGCAGAGAGCTTTGAGAACCTGATAACCACCATGGCTGACACTCTGGAGCCAGAGGTGTTCGACCTTATTATGAAGCTGACACGGACCTTTATGGACACCATGCTGGACGAATTGACCACGGTCTTAAAGTTTTATATATCAACCGAGTCAATTCTTTTCCGTATTTTGGACCAGGTGATGAGAAAATTCCGTCATATGTCCAGAATTGATTTGGAGATGCACACCGGGGAAATCTTTATGGCTGTAAAGCGTTACTTTTTGTCCCTCAACCCGAACTCGTATATCGGTCTCCTCGAGAAGTGCAAGGTCTGCGAGGGTTATTTCCAGATTACTCGATTGTAGATTTCCAATTAATGGAAGCCATCGAATGTGATGATTGGTGCCTTATTTCCAAAACTTATCAAAGATATTTAAAATACTTTTACTTTACATATTTCATATGTAATTCTATGTATGTAACCAAATGTAAATCTATATCAATCTATATATACCGAGCTGAGAGCACAAACTTGACATTAACCAGGGAAACTGAAAGGAACTAAACTGTATCACAAATAAATAAAAAAAAAGAACTTTGTTCTATTCAGCTTTGCTTATAATTATAAAAAACGGGTAAATTTAATAAGTGCATATCAATGATTATCATTTCCAGGTGCAAGAAGATTAAGATCGAAAATGATTCATAAATTGCGTTGTAAACTGCGGACTTAAATTATAAGACAAAAAACAATCATTTAGGCTCATCGAACGAACTTCTTATCTTATCCATTTTGTACATAAGATAAGAAAGTGTTTCAAGGGTTTAATAATAACCTCAACGTCTTAAATAAGCTTTGCTGCCCTTACATATTGCTGAGACATGTTTCCCATAACACTGATAGTTTATGTTCTTGCTAAAAAAATAGTTTTTTTTACTTCGTCAATGGGAAAGATATCATATAATGGACCTGAACATCCTGTAAAGGTTTTCCAAGAAAACTTCTGTGCTCGACAACTTGTCTATGAATTCAGGCACCAGCACAGGTGCTTGGTTATGCCATTATGATTATGTTATGCCTTCTGCTTTCAGAATACAGGCGCCAAGAAAACCGATTTGGTTTTACAAGTTTATCTGGGACTTCAATAAGAACCAGGTCGTACAAAATTAACTACTTTTTAAAACGATATTTAATATACTCAAATAATAACGATTGTTAAAAAATCGTAATTATCCAATTTATGCAAATTCTAAAAACTACATTTGGTTAAATAAAATAATCGATAAATTTTGCATTATTGTTTACTCGCCTCTCGTACTCTCGTTTACAATAATTAAAATAATAATAAAACTTAAGAATAATTTAGTTTCCTCTTGCTTGGCTGCTGAAAATTCGTTTCGTTCATCCGGATCACGTGGAAGCTGCAACTAGTTGAGTGCGTGTTTTGTTTGCATTTTGTTTTTTTTTTTTGCTTTGTTTATGTTTATTTCACGAAGACAACACAGACATATTAAGATCCAAAATATATATATATATATGTATTTATATATATACTATATATATACGCATGTTATGTATTGAGGGTTTGTGTTTTTTAGTGGTTTTGTAGCTTGTTTGCTGGTTTCTTAGCCAGAGATGGAGATTGATGCGTGTGAGTATGTGGTGTGTGTTCCTTGTTTGTGTTTGTGTGTGACGTCATTCGAGGGTGGAAAGAAGGTAGGACGCCGCGATAGCCTCCCGGCTTAGACACGCGACAGCTGCTGAAGCAGATTGCACGGCCAGAACGCCTCGATGCGCTCCTTGAGCAACTGAAACGGATACGAGATCCAGGTAAGTACGGTCTGCGCCAAGTGGCCCATCGGCTCTGGATACTGGTGGGTGGCCAGGGCCAGCAGGGCGGTGATGGAGCACAGTCCCGCCGTGAACAGGATGAAGAAGGGCAGCTCTTTTTTGGGATACACGGAAACCTCATGAAAGGCCGGCAACAGCTCGCGATCAGCGCACTCGGTGCAAGTGGGATATGGATAGAAGAGGTGGCCGCGCTCCAGTGGATACGGCAGCATGCGAAACGTGCCCTCCCATGTGCAGTGCAGCAGATTGAGCGCACCCTCCACCTGCTTCCAGTGCTTAAGATGGAAGAACGCATAGGCCAGGGCCTCAGAGTCGCCGCGCTTCAGGATGTGCTCGGGCGGCAGAATCAGCCGCTTTGTTTCCAACAGATATTTGGGTACATGCGGATTGAACTCTACGGCTCTATGGATCGCCTCCACGGCGCTCATCTCTGCCGGACTAAGTCCCCGCTTAGAGGCGATATCCGGCGAGAACTTATCGGCCACCGCACGCGCTTTTAGCAGAGCTGCCGTGTAGCAGATCGTCGCCGACTTGGGCAGCGAGATGTCGTCATACTTGGCGAGAATGGCGTGGCAATCGGCGTAGGCCTGCATCTCCAGCAGTGTCTCGATCAGGTTCTCGTGAATGTTCAGCACGCTCATGATCGAGGGTATTTCCTTGGTGAGGTCACGAAACATCTTGGCCGCCTCCTTCAGTTTTCCCAGCTTGCGGGCGCACATGGCCAGCCGCCGCTTGATGTAGATCAGCACGTTTGTGTCCCGCCGATGCATCCCATCGGCAATGGCGCCCTGGTGCTGGGTAGCCTGCGACTTGCGATAGTTGATCTCGGCCACCTTTAGGGCCGTCTTCAGTATCTTCTCTGCCTCCATGATGGTCATGGCCTCTTCCTCGGCCAGCAGTATGTAGGCAGGCGCACATTCGGCATTTATCTCCAGCGCACTGTGCGCGGACTTGATGCGCTGCATCGGATTGCGCTCGCGCCAGGCCGTCTGCATGATCTCGTACTCCTCCTTGCGGGCGTCGCCCTCGCAGGTAAAGAATGTCTGGTGGTCCTGGGCGCTCAAGTTCATATCGTAGTAGGTCAGCGGCTCCTTACTGGTCGCCCAAAAGAATCTCTGGTACTCGGCACCGCGAAAGAGGTTCAGGGGATTTCGCCACACCTTGCACTCGGGCATCTGGGTGCCGGTGCTGGTTGTGGCTCCTCCGCTTCCTCCGGCTGCTGCACCACCGCCTCCTCCTCCGCCGCCTCCGCCGCCGTTGCTACTGCTGCTGGAACCGCTGGATGTGCTGCTGCCACTGCCATTGCTCGACTCTGATTGGCCGTCGCTGCCATTGATCCAGGGACTAATGTGATTGATGGACACTTGCTCTGCCGAACACTCGGATTAGAGGGAATTGAACAAATCGCTCGAATGGAAAACTCACCTATGAAGGAGGTGCCGTATTTGCGGAAGTACCACCACTCAAAGATCAGGATCAGGCCCGAAATGAGGCTGGAGGTACCAGTTAGCGCCACGTAGAACTTAGGCGTCAGCGTGCTGAGAAACATGGACGAGTCCCACATCCTGCCTGCCACCACTGCCCCCGACCAGCGAAGTTCTGTATTCGACGCTGTTTCGCTTCCCTCTCCGTTCTCTGTTGCTTTTTCGTTGGCGTTCGCTTTTGCCGCTCTCCGTTCGGCGGGATTCTGACGCTCCGGCTGGTTTGGGTACTATGCACTAAGCTCGCCTCGCTTGGACCACCGGATGGGTGGTTGATCAATAAACGGTTGTGTTTCTTGGCGCTATCCTTGCGCTTATCCTTACTGCAGATGAGACTTTTTTCCGTCAAGTATTCGTCAGGGGGGGTGAGCGGGGGAGCGTTTTCGGGCCAGTGTGACCAGGCGCCACGGATATATACCAGCGCAGAGCGACCGTCGTTCTTCCAGTTCGGTACACCAAAACTAAATGAAAATTTGAAGTGCAACCTGGGCACTCTGAGCTGTTTTTCAAATTTCTTTTGTTCAATTTCTGAGTCAAATATATAAACCACTATTATATTTATTTATTTATATAAACCTAGCAGATTGTTCTTAGGTAAAGATGACATATTATTAGGACCATAGGCTGCTGATATTAAAAAAAAGCCATTCCCTTAATCCGATTGACACTCAATTATAAATATTTAAAAATAGTTGTCTTAATTTACTAATCAAATAATTTTCCTCTTTCTTGTAGATGTATATGATTAATAAATCGAGAAAAAAAGTCATGCAAATTCTAGCTATTTCTAGCTAATTTAGGCCCATCTCCAAATAAATCGAATCCGATAACTTCGAAATGCACTTGCTGCCAAGCGGCCATTTTTTGTGATGATATTTTGTGATGTTTTAATATAATCCGATTGAAACGAAGCAAGGAAATCATTTTATTGGAACGCCAATTCAACGGAAAACCATCATGGCAGAGGTGATGGAGTCTCCATTGGCAGCGAAGGAGGCCTCCCCAACCGAGGAGGCTCCGCGCGTTGCTGAAAACCTAAAACCAAACACAGCGGCGTTGGTAGCAAAAAGTGCGGGCGACAATTTAGAAGAGGAGCTGGCCGAATTGAACGGCAAAGACGAGGAGGGCCCGGGCCTGGATGAACTGAGCTCTCTGGAACAGGAGATAGCCAAGCTTCACAACATTCGGCCCGTTGACCCGGTAGCAGCAGCCGCGGATGCCCCCAGCGCCGGGAGTAGCGGTGCCGATAATGATGTTTTGGATGCCCGGGCAGTCGGGGACGAGCTGACCAGTGGCTCTGTGGAGCAGGTGGACGTGAACGATTTGTCTGGTAATGGCCAAGCTTCGACATCTCCACTGGAAGAGGTGGATCTGATCGCCCTGCTCAAGGGCACAGACACAAGTCACGAGAAGTGCGCCGTGGAGAAGGCGCTCTCTGAGCTGGACAGCGTGGGAGTTGACGTCGGAGTGACTATTGAAGGAGAGGGTCAGTACGAGATAATGGAAATTGACGACGATGAGAGCAACGGCGGAGAATCTACCACCAACAAGGCCAGTCCCAAGTCGCCTAAGACCAAGTCAAGCAAGTCACTTAAATCCTCCACCTCCGCTGTTTTTGTCAAGCCGAAGCTGTCGCCGGAAGAGATCAGGGCCGTGGCCCTCGAGCAGATGGCCGGCCTTAAGAGTGCAAAGTCACGCCGCAAGGAACAGACGGCTGTAAATGTAGTGTTGAAGCCTAAGGACATTGTCAGTTCGCTGAACGAGGATTGGGACGATTACGAGGACTCCGAGGATGAAGCCCCTGCAGCTCCGCCAGTTGCAACCAAAGTGGTTGTAGCTCACAAGCCGCCGGCCGTGCCTTCAATGAAGCTTCCATCACCTAGCAAACCCGCTGCACTTTCTAATTTATCTGGTTTCACTAATAAGATCAGCAGCGTCAAAGTAATGCTTAAAACAGTGTCCCAAAAGCAAATCGAGTCCTCAACGCCACAGCATATTACGGCAGTGGTGGAGAAACCAAAGCCTTCAATTACAGCTTTAACGACCACCAATGTGAGCACAGAGCCAGGCACCACAGGTACATGACCAGTTCCTTTTATGAATAATTCTTTCTTGAGTGTTTATCTTCTATTAAAACCTGAATTAATTGCTTTGGCAGGTTGCAAGCGTGTGATCAAGCGGAAGATAATCTGGGACCCTGATGCCCCCGAGACGCAAAAATCCTTTGCCCAATATGCCAGTAGCTCTAAGGGTGCAGTTACATCCTCGGCAAGGGCTTTATCGCTATCACCAGCGACAACAACACCAACACCACCACCATCTACACCTAAAGCAGCAAAACTATCGGTCAAGAATGTTTTAACCATTCAACCACCGCTAGCATCAGTAGCAGCAGCAGAACCACCACCAGCTACTCCTAAGGCAGCAAAGGCGGTAGTCAAGAATTTGAAAAAAGAGGCTGTCATTAAAAAGCCGCGTGCAGCCACGCCCACCGTTCGAGCAACAAAAGCTTCCACACCGGAGAAAGGTCCTTCGCCTATTAAACGGCGCTCACAAACCCCAAATTCTGGATTGGCCAACGGTGGACCCCAAAAGAAAAAGAAGGTGTCCGAAATCGATCGCCTGATGGGCGATGAGGGCGCGGCCAATATGATCCATGCGGTAGAGCATGAGCAGCGCGAGATGAGCGGTGGGGAGATTTCCAATAAGCCGCTGATGCGAAAGCGAGCCATGACTATAACGGGCAGGGTAAGTGTGTTATCTATAGATACTATAGGAGCGAACCCATAAAACGAATATGCTTGCTTGTTTCCAGAACCAGACATCTCGCGCCTCAGCGGAGCCACCGACGCCGAAGAAAGAGACTGCTCCTCCCAGTACACCAAAATCCAGCGCCAAGCGGATCAGCACTACGGCAAATGCAGTTTTCGCCAAAGCAACACCTAAGACTGCTGCTTCCAAATCGCGTGCTTCGGACTCTTGGGACTACGTGTACAAGCAGCGTGCCAGCGAGGAGTCCATGATCATGCGCCGACGCTCCAACAGCTCCTTTTCGAGCAACAACTCAGTCAGTCGCCACTCGCTGGACACCAAGCCCGGAGCAGCCACTCTTTCGGACGATGCGGCCGAGGGCTCCGATCCTTCCTTTAAGTTCCTGAAGCCGGTGGACAAGGCAAACCAAAGAGGCGTCGAAGCGTCGCCCCCGTGTTCTTTTTCCCACACACTGGCCAATGATATGAAGGCGGTTAACAGTAGCCATACCAAGGGAGCTGCCGCCGAGCTGGTTGTCCTGCACAAGGTGGATAAGGTGGCCCATTTGAAGGTCAATACGCACCGCGGCAAAACGGGACAGACATACAACAGTCAGCTGCTGCAGAAATTGACCGAGACGCTGAGCAGTGTGGCCCGCAGCAATGATTTTAACACTGTGCTCATTACTGTTCAGGGCCAGCAGTTCTGTCAGGGCATCGAGTGTCACGAGCTAGTGCAGGGATCGGCGGAGAAGCGCAGGAACAGTGCCAGCCAGCTAACCCAAACACTCAAGTGAGTTAATGATAAGATACATTAGCAGTTAGTATAATTAATAATTTACTTGATGCAGAACGTACCTCCGCACTCTGGCCACATTCCCCAAGCCCTTGGTGGCGGGCATTGTTGGCAATCTCATCAATTTGGGTGTGATGCAGCTACCACTTATCGACTATGTGGTGGCCGCCGAGGATTGTTGTTTCGAGACAAACTATAGCAAGTTGGGACAGCTGCCCGAGGGCTATGCGCTCTGGCATGGTCACGAAAAAGTGTCCAGTCAAGTGGTAAGTAGCTATTATTGTTCATTTATTTTTCCATTAATTTATTATTAAGATATTTATTTAAAATTTGTGTATTGTTTGTTTCCCTGCAGCATTCACAATTGCTATTGTTGGGTGAAAGACTACTTGTATCTAATATCATGGGGCCAAATAGTTTTGTTGACAAGATCTGCAAGGCTCGTAGTGTCGGCGAGGAAGCCCTGGCCATAGCCAAACATATATCCATGACTTCTGCGGAGGTAAGAGCCTCTTTCCACACCTAGCATCTCTGAAATCATTTAAATTATATTACTTCGCAGACATATCGATCGCTGAAAAAGATAAACCATTTGTCCAGCAATGCTGTCAAGTTCGCTCGCATGGACGAAGAGTTTAAAGTTATAGCCGAGCAATGGACGTCGTCTAACTGCTTGGCGAACATGAAGCGCTACCTAAGCGGCATTGACTTTTAAGACCCTAGGCTAGTAATTATTATTTTATACCATACACGCAAAATGGTAGATAAATTCAATCAGAAACAAAATTTAAAAAATTGCAATCACATTTACAATAGGTAGATCTATTTTAAATTTCTAATCGATCGTCATCCCTTCCCTAATTATGTTTTACTATTTTTTTTAAATTGACAACTTTAGAGAGAAACATAATTTGAATCTGATTCTTTTGGATGTAAATACAATTAATAAGATCGAAGCGCGAATTTGTCGGAAATTCATTTTTAAACCTCTAATGTCTGCAGTACAAAGCAATTCGTATCCTGATATTTAAACCGTGGAAAAAAATAGGATAACGCCTGGTAGGAATTTAAATTATCCATTTGGAACATAATATTTGTAGTTTATATTCAGTTAATGCAATATTGTAATGCAATATCATTTTTGAAATAAAGGAGAAGCGTTGTAAAAAATTACAAAACACGGAGAAAAATGTTAATCAAGAATCAGTTTTCCAGTTTTTCTTGTTTACTGATTTATTTATTATTTGATGGGAGTGGCTAGAAAAGGTTCTATTAATGTACAATGTAATGCATGCAACTAGGAGTAAACTACTACTCGTGTCCGACAGCACGTTTCCGGCTGGCTAAATGCTCGTTCCATTTGGTGCTGATGCGGTTTGCCGCCTAGTTCCGCTTCCCGTCCTCGTAGTAGGCGGGCAGATCCGCTTGGAGGCGCAGCAGTCGCACGTTGGTCAGCAGCTTGAACTCGTTCCGAGGCTGTTCGTCACCGGCGTGCACAAAGGTGGACGTGTAGGTGACAAGCTCCTGGGATCCGTCCTGATCTAGATCGGCAATCAGCATCGAGTGATCCTGGTTGTTCAGATCCGGTTGGCAGACCAACTCGGTGCGGTCGTGGCGACAGAACTGGATAATGTCGCTCTGCGACGTGTTCTCAATGTGAGTGTCGGCGCCCACGAAGAGCACAAGGATCACAGTCTCCGTGATCCTATGCATTTTGTAACCGGCGCTAGAGGAGAGGCCACTTGTTTTTGTCTGGTTCTTGGAGGTCACTCCAAACGTTTCCCTTTTTTGTATTAAGTGCTCGAAGACATCGAACTCCTCGTGGTGCGGTGGGAACTCATGCTCTTGCGCTTGGCTGCTCCTCTTTACCCGCTGAAGCTGCTGTTGTTGCTGCAGCTTCTTTTTTGCCTGCTCCTTTTCCTTGTCTTTAATTGCATTCATATTCTTAGTGTGATTGTTGCTGCCACTTTTCTGGACATTGTTGCTGCTTGTGCCGCCGCTGCTCGTAGAGCTCTGCTTGGCTGGCTTAAGCGGACCGTTCCACTTCCAGAACTTTACCACAAAACCGGACATCTGGCTTTTGGTGTTCTTGAAGTGCCATTGCGCAGGCACCATTCCGTACATTGCACTCTTACTGAAGCTCTGCACCACATTAGGTTTGCCGTCGCGCACCTCGCTGAGGACAAACGTGACATTGCAATCCTCCGGACAGCGACCGCGATTCTCCAGCACAAGCTCCCGTCCGCTGAGGCTGTAGATGTTGCGCTGCGCATCCATATCCCTCCGCTGGCCGTGATTCCGGTGCTGTGCTATCTTGGCGGTGGACAGCAGGCGCTGACTTCCTATTGATTTGTTCGTGATCAAAGTGTAGAGCACGTCCAGGCCCTTCGAGCGCAGCTGTTCTGTGCCATTCGCCCGTTGGCAGGTGAAGCTCACATTGCCCGCCTCCAGTTTAAGATTGCTCAGCTTGTCACAATCATGGCAAGTAAAGCCACTCCCTATGGGAGTTCCTTTTCTGCCCGACAATAGGCGCAGCACGTTGCGAGCCTCCAACTGGCCGGCGGATTCGGCCTTTGTTTGGGCCAGCGATTTGGTGCGCTGCTCCAGCGATAAACTGGTGACTAGCAACAGATCCAGCACCCCATCGCCATCCAGATCGGGCAGGACGATGGGGAAATCGTAGGCATCTACTTTGCGGGCTGAACGCTCCTTGAACAACCAGAGCCACTGTCCGGAAACAGGATTAATGGCCCCCAGTTCACCGGATTCATCGAGCACCAGACAGTCCGTCTTTCCATTCCCATCGATGTCTACGAGGGTACAGTCCAGGGCCACCGGCTCGTCCACCATCTCCACATACCAGGCCACAGCCCCAGAGCTGCCGATGAGGCAGATAATGCCATTCCGTCGTTCGTTTCTCGGTCGGGATTCCGGAAAGAAGGCATCGCTGCGGTACATAAAGATTAGGTTATTCTCCCAGGCCCGGTACCCACCAACGACGTTAACGCCTCCCTTAAGCTCCGCCTGGGTGTAGTTGTTCAGCCAGTTGTGGGTCTTGATTCGGTCCCCCACGGCTGGACAGGAACCAGTGCCGTCTGGATTGCCGCAGGGCACTATCCACACGAAGGACACCACGGCGAAGACACAGAGCAGCAGACTTCCGATGAAGCAACATTTCCTCGCCGGCGACATGGGCGTCCTTTTGGTTGCGTCATCTGCGCCTTGGTTGCCGCCCAAAATGGCAACATTGTCCGCATTGGAATCGAATTCGCTGTTGAAGTGGGACAATTCCGATCCCACGCCGCCATTATCGCTAAGCATGACGGATCGGAAGGTGTTCTGCATGTTGGTGGTGTAGCTGCTGCCCTCTAGCTGGAATTTTTGTGGGTTTCCCGCCAAGGCTGTCGGATTTCGGGTCACAATTCGTGTGGCGGTGGGTGCAGCTCGAGTATGTGGCGACTTCAAAGCCAGTGTATTTGGTGGAATGCGACTCCTTTGCGGCTGCAGCTGCAGATGCTGATGCTGAAGATTCTGGAGTTGCAGTTGGCGGTGCTTGGTGGTGTTGTGAATCTCGATTTCCTCGTCCGATTCGGAATCGCTCATCGCCTGCCTTAGCGGCGCATAGATGCCCTGGTGGCCAGCAGCGGGCAGCGATTCTGTGTGCAGCATTTTAGCTGCAAGATTCACGAAAAACCCTCGGAAAAATCAATATCCAAACGCCGAACAAAATGGAAAACGAACTGAAAAAACCGCGAAAAGTCCAAGTTAACTTACCTCCGTTCGATGGCACAAGCGTTCACTGGCATCTAACATCCACATAGCTACTGCTTTTGATCTTTATTGGATTAGGCCAAACATTAATTTCAGCGGAAAAACACCCTTCGAAGAAAGCTTTTCCCCCCAATTCAAATAGTTTGTGTTCTTCTTTGCATTCGTTCGTCTATCGTTATCGTGTTTCGCAACAGTGTTGGTAAACGCGTCTATCGATTTATCGCGTTATCGTTAAGTGCGTGACCAGTTGGGACGCCCACCACTACATGCACCAAAAACAACAACAACAACGCCTATGGTTTACGTGCGTGAAAATTAGTTAAGTTTTTAGTAAAAAGAGGAATTTTGGACGTTGTTTGAGTGATTCCAATATATCCGTATGCTGCGTGGAAGTGCGGGACCAGCGGCGTTCATCAGAAGGACAGACCGAAACGGTCCAGAAGTGTGAAATTGCGAAAGTGAAAACGGGGCAAGACGGAACGGAAAACGCAACAAAAACGGTGCCAAAAACGCAAAGAAAAGCTGCTAAAGAGGGGGAAAACCATCAGGGGATATAGCATCAGGTCAAGATTACTAAGTGCTTCAAGCATATATCCGCAATATCTCCACTTTCCACCGATTTGCCAGCGAAACAGACCTGTAAACCAAACGCAACACCCACACACACACTCCACGTAAATTGTGTACATATATTGCGTTGTGCGGCGGCGGGTGAAAAGCTGCTCCCAAGTTGCTCCACCTCCCACTTCCACAACCACATCCATCTCCGCATCCATCGCACATGTCTTACATGATGGCCAAGACGCTGGAGGAGCAGAGTCTGCGGGAGTGCGAGCACTACATCCAGACGCACGGGATCCAGCGCGTCCTCAAGGACTGTATTGTTCAATTATGCGTCTGCAGGCCGGAGAACCCCGTTCAGTTCCTCCGCCAGTACTTCCAGAAGCTCGAGCGGGTAAGTGTCCCAAATGGCTGCGGTTCTTACCGTATCTGATACGTATTCAATATAGATTATTTTTACTATGGAATATAATACATACATATTTACATATTATTTTAGTTCACTGGGAACATATTTGGTTTAAACTAAAAGTCGTTGCCCGGGAATGTCGATTGCTTGTTTTACTGGTTTCTAAAAGAGTATCACTCTTAGGTATCCTTTCCCTGCCTATTATCCCCTAGCTAAGCGTGCTTCGACTCCCTTGTTTTGAGGCATCTAAGATTTGCGGACCTAAACATGGACATTCGTTATTTATTCGACAAGTTACCTTGCGATTTGTACTCTAGGGCCGTATACTTGCTTACTTTAACTTAGTTCCAATTAGGATTATATGTAACAGGCAGAAGGAGACATCTCTGACTCATTTTCTTAATCAACATCACCAGACAAGTCGATTTAGTCATCTTTGTATTTATGAGACTAGATTTACAGAAATTACTTAATTTAGAGAAATAGTTTTTAAGGGACGGAGATAGTTTGTTTTAATTAAATTTATCCAAGCCCCATCAATATGAATCATGAAACAAAAAGTAAATATGGTACTTAATGTAAAATATATATAAATAATCTTATAACTCGAGCTTAGTCCATGAATATGATATTAATCAGAACTAAACTATAGTTACAACGGGTAACAATATACCCTTGTAAAGGGTATTATTGCTTTAGTGAGAAGATTACAATGCATTGAGGGAGACATATGCGATCCTATAAAGTATATACATATGTACATATACATATATTTGATCTGTATCAACAGTCATCTGTCCATTTTAGAGCTTTCTGAATGAATCCTTGCACATAGACTTCTTTCTATTGCAGGTAGTATTTGTACATATGAAAGTATTTGTTAGCACTTGCCACCATATCTTATGCCTGTCATAAAAAAAACCAAGACTGAATCCGCTTTAAGTGGAATCGAAGATTAATTGGAATAGTTTGAACTCGTAAGATGAGGTCTTCCTTCTTATTTTAAATTCATTCGTTAAATCACATTGATTAAACGCTTTTTAATGGACAACAGCGTACTATAGTCGAATTTGTAATGGTTTAGATTAACGACTTTTTGATTGAATTATCTGCTGTAAAATCTGCACCTGAGTTCCTGGCTCCATACCTTTTTCTTCAATACATCTAAGACTCATAAATTAAGATTTCCTTATATAGGGGAGATTCATGAATAGTTTTACGTTTTGTTTACGCTCCTTAACAATGCTCAAGAATGCAACAGCCAACATTTGAGATCTTAATTCTTTTTAGCTATGAAAGACGAACAAACTATATAAATTGGATAAGTTAACAAATGTACGGTTAATTTTGGATGCTTTCTTAAAAAACAAAACCTTATTTCCTGAAAAATGTGCAGTTATGGGCCTAGACTTAATTGAGTTCATTGGCTGAT